CAGGCCTACGTGGCAATTGCTATGAACAAAATTATGAAGTTTCTTTCTTAAAAGAAAGCAAAATCTGCCACTGTTTATACCATTTGTACAAAAAACTGATTAAAGGTTTTTTTTTTTTTTTTTTTTTTTTTTTTTGTTTGTTTTTGTTTCTTAAACGAAGCAAGTAATAAAAATGTTTTTTATGTGTAAGGTATTTTTGTGTTGCTTGCATTTAAGAATTAGTTACTATTTAAAGTTAATTCATTACTAAAAACTATATTTTCCTCATTTAAAAAGTCTTTTTAACATTGTGAAAAATCTCCCGATTTCTTAAAAAAATCTCCTGATTTTTGAGTGTCATAGGTTGGCAAGTATGAATTATTATCCATTCTAATTACACATTGTTCATAGTATTTTTCATACATTGGATTATTCCATCTGCATTTTCATCTGGATTCAAAAAAACGTCTATTATATGATTTACTATATCGAATTCCATATTAAAATACTGAATACACATTGGGAATATTTTTTGAAACATTAATTTGATGACAAAAACATAGAAGTCGATCATAATTTTATTGATTTGTTCAAAACTATTCCTAATGCCTTTTTACTGAGCATATTTGTAACCATTGCTTCAGATTTAATTCTACAGCAAGATATTTTTGCAGCAATTTTAGAATCTTGGTAAATTTTTTAATTAATTTCAAACTGCAATCAAGTAAATTATAGGAATGATTGTATTTAATGACATGGTATATTTGAGTTGTTTGTGAAGGAACTACTATATCTTCTTTCACATTTTCTTTTACAGTTAACTTATAAATGAAATAATTGGATGATAATGCACTGCTTTAATTGTTATGAAAATCAATGTTTATACTGTCGTAGTACTAAAACACTCATTTATCCAATTTTAAAAGCACTTTGACAATTTGCTTCTTGTGGATTAACAGTTGCCGCTAACCATTCATAGCCTATTTCCCAATTTTTGTTATACGAATATAATCACTTTATCTTTTTTTTCTTGTTACTTCCATAATTTATTTATAGGTATAACGGTACTTAATAAAATGTGATATCACGAACACAGAAAGTGTATATATAATGACTTTAAAAGGGTGAATATTATAAATAACCGGACATACTTCCGAAATACCAGTAAACATATTAGAATTAACCAAATAAATGCAAACAAAGTACATTCTACACAAAAAGGGAAGATAAAGTGATGGTTAAACACTGAGTTTGGACTTGGATACTAAGATTTTTTTAATTTGTTGGTATTTTCTACCATAATTAAAATCATGTCTCAGTGGGTTGGCCGGATATTATAGAGTTCTGAGCTTTCAAAAAAGAAAGGGAAGAATTTTGCCTTTGGGAATGTAAAACATCTATGAGTAAACATCTTCAGTAAAGTTATCCGAAAAGTCAGAGTTTCAAATGTGTGAAATTGAACACAAATTCATAATACAGTGTAGAGTACATTGTATTATGTACAGAGCATGGTGTTAACTGAACAAAAGTCGCTAAAAGCATTATTACTAAATAAATCTAAAGAAATGTAATGAAAATATTTACATAAAAACCTATACTTAATAAAATGCAAGAACCTTGATAGAAAAGTCACACACAAAATGTCATTAGTAAGACGTAAGAGATTTTTGTTTCCAAAATAAAGGACATAATGCCAAATGGAAAAGCTCACACATATATACTTAATCATATATTATAAAGGTTGTAAACCCAAATAATAATTGATTAAGTATATGTATCTGTGTGGGCTTTTTCCTTTGGCATTTAATGAAATATCTTAAAACAGTACAGAATATGTGTTAGAAGTGAAAATGATATATGAATGATATGTTCATTCATTTGCATTTGCATTTAGTAAATGATTTCTGCTTATTGAACTCTTAAAAGCTTCATCTTTCTTTATGCTGGTATTTTTAGAGGCTATTAATCATAATTGCCTAACTAGCTGGATACACGATTCCTATGCGGTTTCAGCATTTTATTGTCTTGAAAACATGCCATGTGTCTAATTTGCAGGTTGTTTTAAATATGAATCTGATTAATCATACACTCATCCTTGGCTAGTCTAGCTCTTTATTCTTTCAATAAACCTTTTCTGACTTAATTATTCATATTTTTTAATTAATATTATTATTCATATATTTTATTAACATTTTCACATAACTATTATCATGCCTTTTAAATTGTGTTAGCATGAAGAGCATTTGATTAAAAGATAAAAAAATATGATATCTGAAAATATGATTATTTTTGTCATTTTATTTTATCTAAGAGATTAAAATAAAATGACAAAAATAATCATAAGGAAACCATGCTAGCTGGCAGTAAAATGTGTATGCAAGATATCTCTGCAGTTTGACAAAAAAATTCTGCTGCACTCGATTTTACACCACAAAAGCACACATATGCACATCTATATTATCACTTTTGAAACAGTAAAATGTTAAACAGTAAATGTTTTTAAATGTTATTAATTATTTTAATGTTATGTTATTTTTTGTTATTAATAAGTGTTTATATATTTTTTAAACAAGGCATTTTTTATGTATTTGCAGTCATTTTCAAAAGTCTTGTAACAAATCCCATATATTTACATATTTTCATATTACATATTTGCTACAGTTTATTCTTCTTTGTTTTATAACATGAAAATGTTTTTAAGTCAAGTAAACCTGTAATTCCTCTGATAAATGGAAACTCATGAAATAATTTGGAAATTATTTTGACTTGCATTAGAAAATTCAACCCATTCATTTAATCAAACGAAAATTAATAGAATTTTTTAAATATTAGATTGTTAATTTTTGTTAAGAATTTCCACCAATTTTAGATAAACCAAATGATCTTGAAATACTGGTAGTGTTTAGCTAATTATAACTACTTATTTTTATGTTTAACTAAATAATATGATTTTAAAGAGAATAACACTGTTATAATAAAACTGAATATGTATGTAATAATTGTAGTGAAAAGATTTTTTTTCTATTTATTACCCTTAAAAATCACATTGCAAAATGTACACACAGATTATCACAGCTTGACTTTTATTTCATTATCATTAGATGCACAAAAGATTCTGTTTCCACATAAAAAAAAAACTACTACAGTACAAAGTTCGTGATCCGGACTCGTTGGGACTTCGGCGATTCCGGATTAGGGGTTTTTCCGGATTATAGATCATCAATTTAAATCTGGTAAGATGGCATGCAGAAATTATACAATTAAAAATATGAAACTGTAATTTATGAAATAAAGAACAATTATGATCTAAAGGGTTTCAAAAATTTACAAAAAAAAAAAAAAAAAAAAAAAAAAAAAAACCTTAATATTTATTTGTTTACTTTATTAAACATTTCTTTCAATGTAAGATGTTTAAGTTGCTTCATTTTTGTGCTAATACTTTCTCTTTAATTCCATAAACAGACAAAATTTCTTGTTCAGTTACAAAGTTCTACTGTTCAAGTCCTGTAATTGCTGTGTCGAGAATACCGACTAACTTTTCAATAGAAATTTTTCATTTTCAATAATCTTTCTGTCACTTTCTTTACTATCGGAAGCGGTATTTTCTGGATTTAGATTATGCCATATACAGTTGACTTTCCAATGTCACACTCCTCGCATAATTTTGAGTTGGATATGCCTTTATCCATTTTTTGCAGCAATTCTACTTTTTGTATGATGGACATCGAAACATGCTTTCACTTTGTAGATCCTTTGGCAGCTCCAGAATTAGAAACTCTTTTTGACGTAATTGAAAGTTCAAGCTTAATTTTTATAAAATTGCTCTAACAGTCTGTAAAAAATAACAAGCTGGATCTAATTAGAAGATTAAGGAACAGCCCAATCTGCAATATTAACCGAAATGCCTTAGAATCAGTAAAGATAATTTTAGCCTAGCTTATACAATCCATTTTACATTAAACACACATGCATAAAGCATACAAAAAAAAAAGTTTGTGGCTTTGAGGTCCAGATTATAGATCTTCTGGATAATGGACGTCGGGATTACGGACTTTGTACTGTACTGTGTTCTGGAATTATTGGAATTATTAGGCTATATGAATGAACTATGAATTATCGATTGTATTCTATAAAGCTTTTCATAGAATAGACAGTGGTTTTCCCCATGTGTAACGTGTATACGAGCCAGTTCCCCTTAGAAAGTCCTCCACGAAGGCACCCCTTCCCTTAGGCAGATAGCCCTAGTGTGCTTTGCCGTAATTAAATAAACCAAACCAAACCATAGAATAGACATTGCACATATGTCATGTGTTTGGATATCATTATTTACTGCCAAGATTCAATTCATGTATTTTTACCATTACTTCCTGATGATCATTATTATTTTCTTCATCCTTTATGTAGAGAAAATAAAAAAGCAGGATAAAAAATTAAGTATCATGTAAACTTAGTTCAGCTTAGTATGTTTCACAGTACTTTTCTAAAAAGATAAAGCTAATATGCATGAAGAGATTATTATTTTGTTTATAAAAAAAATTATGCTGAAAGTTAGTTTTCTTGGTATTTTTCCGTTAAAGCCATACTATGGATTTTTGGTTTCTCTCCCTACACTTTTGGTTCAATGCTAGATGAAAGGTAACATCTGGGAATAACAGCATTCTTTAATTTCACAACAAAATCTTCCAAGAAGATATTGTGAGAAAAGAACGTGGTCTATATAATTTATTTTGTAACAATTTTTCTTCAAGTTCCACAAATTTGCTGTATCTGTCAATTTTAATATAATCCAATTGTTCTAATCAACCATTGTGTTGTGATTCAGTGGAAGCAAGTTTTGATTAAATTCAGACACCTTTATCTTCCTGGTAGGAGTGAAGGCTGTTTAAACATTTTGGCTTGAGTCACATTGTAATTTAAAAGTACCATTTTCTTTATTAAAAAAATGAATTTTTTTGATATTTTATTTTACATAATCTTGAATCAAGTATTTAAACAATTATTGCAAAAACTTTCTTATTTAGCTGGTTCAACTTTTCAAGTCTATGACTTAAGAAGCCGAAAGTGTTTACATAGATGTTCTCTTACATATTGCATTCAATTTTGGACATGGATCGATTCTTCTGCACTAGTCATAGTCTCTGATACTTCAGTTTATCATTGGTATCTTGATGAGCGTAAGTTATGTTGGTTTTTTTCACTTAAAATTATTGATCTATCTGCACCCCCACAAAAAATCTCCCATTTCATTGGGAAGTTAGCGAAATAGAAAAAAACATTTCTTTAACTATCTGAAATCATCATCAGTGATTCAGGATTTTAGAGTATAAATATATTAAGATGAATTTTAAAAATTATAAAATTAAAAATATGAAAGATTATTTTTATGATGAAGCAAAATGATCTTGAGAGAAGAACCAAAATTTACCCATGCCCCAAATAAAAAGTTCAGTGTTAATAATTGTTTTGTTTCATTAAACTTTTTTTTCAGCAGTTTTTTTTAATGTTATTTATTCTTAAACTTAATCATATTATTAAGTTTAAGTTATTTAAGCAGTTTTTTTAATGCATTTTTACATTCTCATAAGTTTTATAGAGCAATATAATTTCTTATTCAGTTACTTTCATTTTTCAAGTGCTATAATTGCTGCTTTGAGAATCCCATTAAATAATTAGTAATAATCACTGCATTCTCCACAACTTTCTTAATGGTGATGATATTTTTTAGATTTAAAACCATATTACAAGTTTTGCTATACTTCATGTATTCCATTAATTGGGAAATTTCGCAGTTCTTTTCTATCAAAGCCTCCTGCCGCTTTTTTCGTTTAGCAAATTTTCTTAATATAAGCATTATCATTTTAGTTTGGCATAATTCCTGATATAACCATGTTTTTCAGTCATGAAAAACTATTTCCCATCTTTTTTCTTCTATTTTTCTTTTACTGAAGTGGATTTGCATGATTTAATTTTTTACTTGTGATATTATCAAAAAAACCTTAAAATTCATGGCTGTTTTTGTAGTGGCTTTAAACAAGCTTGGCTCCAGAATTTCAGTGCTGTAAACAAGTATGTAAATACTTCATATTATATCTGCATTTCAGTGCATGCAAAATTCCTATATCTGTTGGTTGATTGACAGATGCAAATTTTGAGGAAAAAATAAAATGGAGATGATATTTTTTACTAAAACTTTAATTTTGATAAGGTAATAGACTGAACAAAATAATAAGCTGGAGCAAACCTGAAAGTGAAAGAACAGCATAAATCACTATGCTAGCTGAAGCTAATAAGAACCTAATTCTTTCTCATTCTTCTGTGCTGCACCAACAAAAGTAAACCGCATGTGCAAAATTTTATTCCAAAAAAATATTGATCTTCGGAGCACACTAATTGTGCACAGGGCTAAATGAGATAGAAAAATTATGCCCCCTCCTCCTCGACAAGTATTCAAAAGCCGATGAAAATGTGATTCACTAGCCGGCAGGTGTTTAAAACTGAAGAATAATTTCAACCTATCACATATAATGATGTTTTTCACCCCCCCAAAAAAAGTGAACTAATTGAAATAAAAATTAATATACAGTAAACTTGCTTTTGTCTGAAAAATTGATTTTATCTCATACACTGTGTGAGAAAAAGGAAAAATTTAAAAGAAAAAATAGTTTTATTGTGTTGATTGGAATAATAATCCTTCTGCTTATTGACATCTGGATTTTGTACTTTAAACTGTTTTCTGTTCTTAAACACTAATAAAAAGAAACATTTTATGAACACAGAAATTTTATGAGGAAAAAAACTAAAGTCTGTAAGACTGAATTTTACAGCTTGTGAGTATTTTTCCATTAAATATAAAGCCTGTAAATCCATATGTCCTGAAACATATATGTGGTGTACAGATGTATGATGTGGCTATTATCACATAATATGTATTTGAAAATATGCCAGAAACATAGCAACTCTTTTGGATGTTGAAACTGAGTGTGTAGATATTAAAAAAGATAAAATTTTGTTTTTGAATTGGAATAATTTTGAAATTTTATCATGTGAACATTGTTTCTATAGTTCTTATTCTTTGTTTAACTCTTTTTCTTCAGTCCTGAAAAGTGTTTAATTTTGTGATAATAAATTTTATCTGTTCTAATTTGAATTAGCAATACTGGTTACATTAATAATCTACAGAAATGAAAGTATGATGTGAATATTTTAATTGAAGAAGTATAAATTCTAGAAAGAAATATTTTCGGTTATTTTATTATTTGGCTGTCTAATTTTTGTAAATTTGAAAATGTGAGAAAAGATGTTAATGAGAGAACTGAAGGTATATTAGAAGATATTACTTTAAAGTAGTCTTCCAATTATGTGTAATAGTTTTCATTTAGAATTTTTAATTTATTATTATGAAAGTTATAATAATATATATATGTATAGTAAATTAATTTAATTTCCTTTTACTGATTTTGCTTGTCTTCAAATTTTAATTTACTGTTTTTCTTCCAGAAAACCAACTTCCAGTTAAAATATTTTGTAGAGATTTAAGAATGAAAAATGCACAATTGGTGCACTATGCTACAGATTCAAATATGAAATGGTTTGCTCTCTCTGGATTAGTTGCTGAGGTGAGGGAGTTTGTTTTTCTTTATTGCTTAAAATATTGGATTGATAAATAAATATGAAAAGCTCTTGAATGAGAAAAATAAAAAAATTAAGAAAATTAAATTGAAGCTGTTTTCGAATATTCATTTCCTAACAAATTGCACTAAAGAGACTCTTCAAGAATATAATCCATATAAAAATTTATATTGAATGAATTAATTTCTTTAAGAAATATATTAATTAAGCAAGTGTTCTTTGATTTAAGCAATTATGTCCTTATTTATATATTTTGTTATATTTTTCTTTTATTTATTTATTTACTTTTTCAGGATAGTCACGTAGTCGGTATCACACAAATATTTTCTGTTGACCATAATTTATGTCAAAACATTGAAGCTCATTGTGTGTGCTTCACTTCATATCAGTTCAAAGGAAATATGCAGCCTTCATGTGTTCTTGTTGCTGCATCAAGAGGAACAGAAATCCATGGAAAGGTAAACATAATAATTTACATCCCTAATTAATTGCTTTTTAATAGGAGGGTTTTCCAAACTGTGGGTTGCAACCCAAGACTTGAATGTATATGTATCCTTCCACAATTTGCAAAATTGGGATGTAGGCTTTAAAACGAAGTCGGTAGTAGCAACACAACAAAAATAAATAAAATAAAATAGTGGAATAACAAAGAAGTGACATGTGACAAATGATAAGAAATCCTTAAACTGCTATATATGTAAACTTCACTTATCTGCGTCACTATTCAGAATTTTTTAATATGTTCCACAAGGTATAGGGACTTGAACCCAGGTACCCTGGTGTCCGTTGCACCACTCCATCAACACAACTAGGGGGCTTTGCTTAAAGTTGCGTTTCCATGCAAATACCTCACCCTACTGACCTAATCAAAAACTCTTTTTTTTTTTTTTTTCTATGACATTCAATTCAGTTTACGTATGCATTAATTTTGAAGTTGTTGGTTATCATTTATAGCATTTATTTTTTGTTGTTTTCTTATCTATTTTGTTGCATCTGTATTATGGATAAGTGTTTGACAAAGAAGGTGTTGAATACAAATGAAAGCGCACTTTCAAAATCTAATTAAAAAAGAATGAAATGAAGAAAAGTGCAAAGAACACATGAATGCATTGTCATAAGGTCGCATAGAGGTTCTTTGTCTAGGATGAAGGATTTCAGAGCACAATAGTTTTCATATCAGTGAAATCCTGTTTAATGAGGGGCCTTTGTTAATGATTCCGGTTGCAGCCTCGAAGGTAACTCCAATGGACAAAAAGATAAAAGAAGTCTTTTCATCAGGGTCAGGAGATGGACACCTTTGTTGTACGAGTGAAGGAATTTTCCCCCTCCGAGAGTTCAGTGCATGTAACAACACAGTGAGATATAAAAGGTGGTTTCCGGAGAAGAGACGAGACTTCCTTCCTGCTAGAGCTATGGGCATGTTGGCCTGCTAGAACTATAATTTCTCATGTTTAATGCGATAGAGCATTTTTCCTGGGACTAAATATATCGAGGTCCTATACTGTCAAGATATGCAACTGTTAATGTTTTTATCTTATTAAAATCCCTTTTATTGTTAGAACTTGTGTTTGAAGTTAATTTTATAAGGTATTTCTCCCGCTTTCCTAGCATGCCTTTGTGGAGTAGTGGTTCTGCATGTTGGGCTGGTATTCCAGAGCTTGTGGTTCGATTCCCGGCGAAGGCGGTTGTTAATTTTTCATCTCTGGCTTCCAAAAAAAAAATCCTTTTAGTTCAGGCGCCACAGTAGGGGCACCCGAACTAAAAGGGTGGTGTATGATGATTTCTCCCCACCTAGGATTTGACGATTGGGTCCTTTAAAAACCCCAGTTGCCCTTTAAAAAGGGGAGTATATAAGGTATTTCTCCCGCTTTCTTAGTGTGCCTTTGTGGTTCTGCATGCTGGGCTGGCATTCCAGAGATCTGCGATTCGATTCCCGGCGAAGGCAATTGCTCATTTGTCATCTCTCTTGCCTCCAAAATGCCTAATGTCTCTGCAGTGGTGCCCGAACTGTGGGGTTTTTGGGTGAGAATTCTCCACACCCAGGATTTGGCGATTGGGTCCCCTAAAAACCCCGGTCGCCCTTTGAAAAGAACAGTATATAGAGTATTTCTCCCACTTTCCTGGCATGTCTTCATGGGTAGTGGTTCTGCATGCTGGGCCGGTATTCCAGAGGTCCGTGGTTTGATTCCCGGTGAAGGCGTTGCATATTTTTCATCTCTTCTGCTTCCAAAAAATCCTTATGTCTCTACAATTTCAATCCTCTATTACATCCCGGAGTTTATGTAGCGGTTTCAGCCACTACACCATGGCATGATTCTGACTGCTTAGCATTAGGGATTTCATGGAATGAGGATGAAGATAATCTCAAACTTGAGTGTGTTATTTGCAATGAAATAATTGCCAATGAAAGCATGTGCCCAAATAAATTATGTCTGTATACTGAGACAAAGCATCCTGATTTAAAAAACAGTCTCTCAGCTTTTTCAAAAGAGAGCTGAATATCTTAAAAATGTCAAAAACAAACCTTTTGCATTTCACCAAGATCAACAAAGAAAATGCTATGCAAGCATCATATCTGATTAGTTATCAAATTGCAAAAACTGGTATACTTTCACCAAATGTATGTGGTTTACCACATACATTTGGTGAAATTTTAATGCTTCCAACGATAAAGGATGCAGTTGGAGATATGTTTGGTGAAAAGAGCTTAAAGAAAGTTGAAACAGTACCATTTTCAAATAATTCAGTAACTCATAGAATTAATGAAATGTCACATTGGGCAAAAAGTCAATTGGTCTAATTTACTGAAAGCAAACCTTTCTTGCTATAAGTGGGCAAATCTATTGATATACAGTTGTACCTCCTGTAAGGGACACCTCTATTTGAGGAACAGTTCTATTGATGTAGTCCCTTCTTAGTTTGTTTACCTTTTATAAAGGGAAAAAAGTTTCAAAAATAAGATAGAGAAACAAATAAAAGTAGAAATGCTCTTTGTTAATAATTATTTTGGGTTTGAAAGGCAAGTTTGCACTTAGTGAAAGATAGTTTTGTAACAAGGGAACAATAAAATGAAAAGTTAATCCCTCTCTTTTGAAAACTGCTTTTTAGTAGGGAAAAGGGGATCAATACATTGGGAAAAACAAGTTGTTATGCAATCAAAGAGATATTTCGCATTCATGGAATTCAAAATTCAGTTATTCTTTCTACAGGTCTCAGTAGGAGGAAGAAAACAGTATTGGCAAGTTGTAAGGCAATTCAAGCAGGAACTAATGGGAAAGAAATGGTAGTGAGATCACTGGACCAGCTGCCAAGGTATAAAAAGTTTGCCATTGAAAAGGATTGGCTGAAATTCATGTCGAGGCACTCATTGAATCTCAGCATGCAGTTAATCTTTGCACATGAGTTTTCAGTTATTTCTAAAGCTAACTTCAATAAATTGATCTATAATAAAGTAGCACATAATTCCAGTCAAGAGCAAAGATTGATATTTGAGAGGGACTACTCATGTTCTGAATGCCCAAAATTTTATTTTAGTTGCTGAGTCAATATGGATTGTGTATGTACATTGCATAAGTAGGGCCTGTTCAAAGTGTCACAGATACTGAATTTCTAATAATGAATATCACAAATCCAAAATCAGACTCGTAACTTTTACCTTTGAAAAAATGCCAGTTCATCATCAAAAGATTTGCAGATTTTGTGCTAGGAATCATTCAGTGGTTCTGTCTTTGTTACTTGAAACAAAATAATTCTTTTTGTATACTCTAGATAAGGTTTCAGAGAAAGTGAAAATTAAAACTTATAGTTATATGGATTCCATTTGATTCCTAAGACTTTTACTGATCTGCTACCTTTAAGTGTTTTATAACCATGAATATCTGTCATTTTCTTAGGCAATGAATCCTTAATTTCATGATAAATAGATATCTACTTTCTGAGATTGAAATCTTTTTTTATAAAACATTTCTGACTATTATTTAATTAATATCTGGGAATTTGCTTTCGTTTTTAGTATTGGTAAAAGATTGTCAACATAAAAGTCTACTAGCAACACATGATGCCACAGAAAAATTTATTTCTTATCAACTGCTAATTGCTTGAGACTTGCATTAAAAGAAAGGGAGTATTTGCAGTGCTATAAGCCCTAGCCACTGTTTTATAACCATAAGCTATTGGCTGGCTGTAGCTATTGGCTGGCTTGAATTATTCCTCTAAAACATCATTTCTCAATATGTGGTTCTCGAAGTCTGCCCTTGTAGTCCTCATAAATTTCCCAAAAAGACAATGACAAATAAATAAATAAATAAAACCCTCAATTTAACTGTGTTTACCATACTACATAGAAAATTTTGAGAGCCTGGAAATTACACATAGCAGCTGTCACCTTTTCCACCCAAAACTGGCATTTTATGAAATTTATGTATTACTAGTTGCCATACTTATGGACTTTTCACTCACTAGTCTTAGCAGTAAAAGAGGGGTATGAAGCATTCAAATTGTGATGCGTCTTAACAGCAATAATCCAAACATAGAACAGCTATGAAAGAATTGACAGGCTCATCCATTTCATTAATGTGAGTGCCAGCATTTATTTAATTTTTAGTTAATAAGATTATTCAGTGCCAGCGCCAGACATTTGGCCATGCACACAGAATTTAGGTATTTTGGGGGGGGGACACTGAGCAGCAAAAAGCTTAGTACAAAATAGTCTTAGCTTAGTCTGAAAATTTCATCCTTTAACTTACTTTCTTAATAACTAAAGTTAAAAGAATTTTAGTTAATTGTAGTGTAAGAGTGTTAATATATTGATAGTAGCTAGTAGCTACAAAAATCTCATTTAAAGGGGATAAGAGTAAGGTGATCTGCAGAATATTTTAACATATAAAAGTGGTTTCCATATGAAGATATTTGAGAAACACTGCTGTAAAAGATAACCTTCCAAATGACATCTTAATATGATTGAAATTTTCTCTCAAAGTCAATGTAAAATGCATTGGGAAAACCCCTAAAAATGTAATGGAATGAGAACTAATCCTGAATATAGTGTCTTCCTCACTTCTTGGTAAATACAAAATTTTTAACTTTTATTTATTTCTGGGGAAAAAAGGAAAAGAAATATGTTTACACATGGAATACTCTAAGCTCTTCTCATGTTGAGAGGATTCTTAATGAAAAAAAGAAAGAAAATACGATAGCATGTGGTTTACAATTGTCCGAAAGCGCATGGTTTACAAAAATACAATAGCTCTTCTCATAACATGCAAATTGTAAATGATTGTGGTTAGGATTCCTGGCCGTTTAATAATGGTCCATGTCAGTGATTTATTGATAATTTTGGTGCTGTTATTGGTGCCAAGTACCAGTAGCCATCCTTCCTGTCTTTCTCATCACCTTGCTGCATCTTATCACTAACTTCTCTTTCATCATTTGCACTTCTGCAGCTGAAGAAGCAGGTTCAACATTTAAACCTTCAAAACTTGTCTCACAAGTTTATGAATATTGTGCAGTTTCTTGTTGCTTTAACTCCTCCAATAATCATTATTCAGCGTGTTATTTTAACTCAAATTTTGGAGCTGTTTACAAAATTGGGGCCATATGCTTTTATATAATGTCTGCTTTTAATAAAATGTTGCATAGTAATTTTTTTTCTTTTTCTTTACAGCTTCATGCTGTAGAACTTGGTCCTCATTTAACTGGCAATTTGGCATATACATCTCATACTGGAGCTATTGAATTTTCTGATCAATGGTTTCGCTATGATTTTCCTTCTTCAATCCAAGTGAGTATTTTATTTTCTGTATCTACTCATGTATGCAAACCAGTTTCTGAATTAAATATTTTTAGGTGGAAAACTACCTTTTAGTGTAGCTTACTCATCACTTTACCTTCTTTATTTTTCAGAATTGTTTAAAAATTTGCTAGACAAATAAAATACTTAATAAAAAAATCAAAACTTGATATGATAATAGGAAGGAATATGTGCATTAAACAGCTTCTAAGAATTGATTGGTATATTAAAATATTAATTGGTAACATGGTTAATATTTCATTGTATTCATTTCAATAACTTAAATATATTTTAGGTTCAATATATTTTTAGACTTCCCCCCCCTTTTCAAATGTGGGATTATATTAGTGTTACAAATGGGTTTATTGTTATGCATATTAATAGTTTGACTATTCTCAGTAATGCTTAGATGATTTCTCTCTTGCGGTATTTTTTCAAATTTACAAGTATCTGCATGATTAAAATGTTTTATTTTAAATTTTAGAATATTTTATTAATTTCTGTGTTAAATATCATTTGATAATTATTTTTAAATATAGGTGAGTTCTAAACTTGGTCTTGTGTATATAGTAACTAAATATGGCACCCTTCACTTATGTGATTTGGAAACCTGTGCGACTCTTTGTTGCATTAATGTTTGCACTGATATAATATTTAGTACTGCTTTCAACAAAGAAACTGAAGGCATAATTGCAATTTCAAGAAATGGACAGGTATGTTTATTTTTATTAATATTTTATAGTAATATATTGTTTCTCATTAATAAATATTCAGAGTTTGAATGTAGTCACACATGATGTGTGGAACCCTGGAGATACTTCCTCGCCATAACTATTACAGAATAATTTATCAATATGGTTAACCTTTATGAAAAAATTTGTTTTATACTACTAAAGTTAGTTAAAAAATATAACTTGGCTAATATTTTAATGAAAAAATTTTAGTGGAAACACCATTAAAAATGATTTCAATGAACTTTATTTTTTACATGCTGATATTGTGTGCACATATAAAACCGAAATTTTTGCCTGCAAGACATTATGAGATATAGATGCACAGCAACTAATGATTGAAATCTAAAGAAATTAAAAAATTTTATCATAAAGACTGATCCTCAAAAATGTTAAACAAAAAATAACAAGTGCACTCCAAGTCAATGAGGGAGTGAAATGAGCTTTTGATGTGAGAGGCCATAGGATTAACGTGGTGAATTTTGAAACCTGTAGTTTTATAGAAATTAATCCAAGCATTTTTATATGGTGTATATAGTAAATGTTCAAGTGTTATGATGTCAAAATAAATAGAATATTTACTTTGTGATGTCATTATTACTACATCAACCATGGAGCCTGCAGTCACAAAACATAAAGTACCTGTATGCGTTATATTAGTTAAAAATAAGTATATGCTTAAAATTACAAGTTAGTTTTCCATTGTCTGACTGACCAAATATACGGCTGAATTTCAGCTATTCCCCCCCTTTTTTTTAATGAAGAAAATGGGAGAGAGATTCTTTCCGAAATTCTCCGGTGTTAAAAATACATCACTTTTGTAAAGCTTGGATACGATATTCACGTGGGATTTATCACTTTGTTAAGCGAATCCTGATCATAATAGAAGGTCTATTGAAATACAGTTCAGAGGATAAATTTACAGTTGCTTATAAACACAAAGTTACTCGTTTTAACATTGCTCCAATCAAAAGTTTCTTTCCTTTGTCATAACCAAAGATTTCTTATATCTATGTTTCTTATGAAAGTAATTGATCATATTTAAATTTTTATAAATAATACTGTATTAATTTTCCACTTAAGTATTCACATGACACACAGCTTTTTTATGACACACAAAAAATTTTTACTTGAAAAATATTCAAGTAAAAATATGATGTTCAAGCTGCCATTCGTCAATAAGATTTCAGGTTCATCAGAATTTCATTCCTTTACTTGCTTTTATCTGGACTCAATATTTTCTAGATGGTCTCCACTGCAAATTGATTCAAATGAAACTCAATTTAAACTTAATTGTATAAACACAAAAGGAGACAGATATAATCTAATTAACATTTATTGGGCAATAAAGTCAACAAAACCAAGAAATATGAACTAATTGCTTATTTGCAGAGAATTACTTATTTTGCAGAGAAATTCGTATTGCAACAGTAACCAAATAATAATTTATAAAATTTATGAAGTTTTTCTGATCCCCAAATCCTCCAGCTATGTCAATTTACTTCTCCTGAAACATGAAATTTGCTTTGTCATTGAGTATAATTTTCTGAAGAAAGTGATCATCATTACTCATAATATGATAAAAAATGTCTACACAAAATTCCCTACAAACAATTCAATCATTAGGTTTGATTTATTGACAAATCTGCAGTTTATATGCAGTCAGTTTCAAACATTCATAAACAAGTTTTTGAACAGTCAACCTGGGAATTCATGTCTGCAGGCTGGCATGGTGAATGGATTTACTGTGTCTGTGTACCAACATACCTTGGATGACAGAAATATTTTTATCATTGATACTTGGTCTACTATGCAGGTAGACCAAGTATTAGACCAATAGTAATGGAGGTGCACTCCACTATGCAAAATATGTCCACTTTCTCAAAACTAGACCATCTTTTAATTGATTATTCCATTGGTGAAGGTTAATAGATTCATCTCAGATTCGGACATCACAAACTAAAGGTGAAATTTTCCAGCTATTTGGATTTTGTAAAGAAATGTGGAGAAGCAGTAATAAATGAAGATGATATAACAGAAGTTTTTCATTGCGACGAAAGTGCTCCAATCATCAATCAATTAACGGATGGCAAAATCTGTAGTATGGTTCTAGATCCAGAAAATACCGCTTCCGATAGTGAAGAAAGTGACAGAGAGGTTATTGAAAACGAAAAAATTTCGATCGACAAGTTAGTCAGTATTCTTGACACAGCAATTACAGGACTTGAACAGTGGAACTTTGTAACTGAACAAGAAATTACGTCTGTTTATAGAATTAAAGAGAAAGTATTAGCACAAAAAACGAAGCAACGTAAACAATTTGCATTGAAAGAAATGTTTAATAAAGTAAACAAATAAATATTAAGCTTTTTTTTGTAAATTTGTATACCCTTTTAAATCATGATTGCTCTTTATTTCATAAATTGTGGTTTCATATTTTTAATTGTATAATTTCTGCATGCCATCTTACCAGATTTAAATTAATGATCTATAATCCGGAAAAAAAACCCCTAATCTGGATTCAAAGTCCCGACGAGTCCGGATTGCGGACTTTGTACTCTATATCACGCTTTAAGACTTCGGATATCTGAGCTTATTTTTCTTAATGCTTGATACAAATTTTCACCTGAATGATCAGTAATTATTTTAGTTTCATTTTATTTTCCCATAATTTGGATAAAACTTTCCAACACTTCATAACACAAAAATGTTAAGCTTTTGAACTGCAGACAAAACATTGCATATTTTTTCATTCATATGTAAACATGAAAAATATGAAGAAAAAGAGCATTTTATAAGAACCAACTTTTTCTTAGACTTTTTTAAATAATATATAATTTTCTTCAGCATGTCGATAAAATAAAAGACGGTTATTAATTTTCGGTTATTAAATTTATCTTTGTAAAATCTTTTATAATAAACTAAATATAAAAAAGGAATATTTCATCATTTATTTATCGATATAAATACATTAAAATTTATTTTTAATGATAATTTTTAATATCAACATTGTTTTAAACTGTTAGATGGTGTTATGTAATTATCTCTGTTATCATTAAAGTAATTATTAAACTTGCAGTGATCCAGATTCTTACAGTATAAAAACCAAAGATCTATTTTTAAACTGTCACAGAAAAACATTTAACTTTAGTTTTGCCGACTGTTTTTATTAAATACTTTTTTAATTGTGATATGACTTCTTACTATTCTATACTATTACTCTTTAGCGAAATCTTGATATGTCCATGTTAGAGTTATTATGAACATAATAGTTAATTTCCTAGAATGTGTATCCTTAAGGAATTGTAAAGGGCAAAAAATAATAATTACCGAAGTGCACGTGGTAGAGTCTATATCATATCAGGAAAGTGCAATAATAGTATAGGATACCGGACGTCCCTTGCAAAAGCACTTCATTCTGCCAGTATATTTAATCTTTTTTAATTGTTTATTCTATTGTATCCATTTAAAACACTGTATACTCTATAGCTCTTCAAAAATTTAGCATTTTGCTAATGTATGTAGTTTAATTTTAAAAACGTAACAGCAAAATTTAAAAAAAAATTTCCAAGCTTTATGAACAACTGGTGTAACAATATTGTTTTCAAGTTTTGAAAATATAATAATAATTTCACAATTTTCACAATAATTTTTAAAATATAACAAAAAAAAATTTTAAAAGGGTAATGTGAAACACACAAATTTTTAAATGAGAAACATTATTACTTTTAAATCTTTGAAACTATAATGACAAGTGAATGAAAAATAAAACTGAAATAAATTATGTATTACAAATCATTTAATGCTATAGGATTAATATATAACCATAATGAACAGCGTTTCAGAAGCACTTGAAACAAAATTTACTATACATTAAATAATCCTGTAGTATTCATAATTAATTTATTGTTTACTTTTACATTTTACACTAGTTATTGTTACTTTTTTTATATTTTACACTAGTTTTTCAGTGGAAATCATTTTGGCTTTAAAAACAGACATATTGAACGTATTGAATCTATTTACGTTTTCTTTAAATATCAATAAAATCATAGTAATGAAAGCTCGACCTGATGTTTTCAGTCGGAATGAAGTCCTTCCGTTTTATTGCACATATCCACTTTCACATCTGCATCAACAGGAAAAGCGAAAATATGTACTTTAGGTCCATATTTGTAATTTCAATTACATCATGGCACTGAACACATTATATTTCTGGAACAACCCACCAATTGGGGGGGGGAATATATATAAAGTGTCCAACTACGAAAAAAGCATGGTATATACCAAGATTTTAGGTCAATAATTGCAGTTCAACCACTTCCATCGTAGCAATGACGTTTAACAATAACCTTTGACCCAAAGCTGCCCTCAAACCCAAAGAAGGATTGCACTCTCTGTACTGACGTCATGCGCTCTATGTCACTGAGCCGTAAGGCCTTGTTCTCAAAGGCCACGCTTATATAGGCTCATAGTCTATATCACAGAGAAAGGCATTTACTATTCTACATGGTGTGTATACATAACACAAGGTTATATTATCATCTTAGCTTGAGGATCTTTCTTTCCAAAACATTACATATGGATGATGTCACCCTTCAATAATTTTTTTGAATAGTCTTGATGTATCTGTGTATTTATTATTTTCTATATTTTATTGCATTTATTATTATTATTACATTTATTGTAATTATTCTTTTTAGGTGTTATCTATAGATCTGAAGCGAGAGCAACTTGTAAAATACGTGTGGGAAGTAGCAAAACGATTTCATATAGCCGAACGCTTATCCCAAGTTTTAAAAGAAAGTTAAATAAAAATATATTCTAAATATTAAAACACCCTTTTTAAAATGGTATTCAATACCTTTCCTATGTGAGCAAGTGTAATTTGAATACCCAGAATTTAATTTTTAATCTCTTATCTAATTTTTATGAGAAATGTAGCTTGATAATTTGTAAAAATACATGAAATATACTAGTAATATATAAATTTTTAGAAACACAGAATGCCTGACAAAGAAACTGTGAACTTTGCACTATATTTGCAATTTGAAATATTTTAGTAATGCTAGAGATGGGATGAATACTGAATATTCTTGAATCCCTCAAATGCATCATAAAAAAAGGAAAAACATTAATAACTTTTAATTAAAGTAAAATTTGAAAATTTCATTTAATGAAAAACAAACTTAAGAATTATAATCTTTAAAAATGCATTTATATTTGTTTCAAAAAATAGCAAATAAAATTTAACAAATGAAGTACATAATTAAAATCTTGAACCTTGAGGTCCATTTTTTCAATACATTTCAGTAATGGTTCAAATTTTTTGAATTTTTTAAGAAATGTTTTGAATGAAAGCAAATGTGTAAGGGAGAGGATCATTAAAAAAGTTATAGTGTTCATAAACATTAACCGTTCATTTGTCTCAAAAACCGCGAGTTTCATTGTGTCTTTGTTGCTTCGTGGGTGTGAATCTACGTAGTCTGACCTGACGTGTACTTTATAACACAAGTGCATTCTAAAATAACTAACTGCATCACGGTTTTCGAGACAAATGAACGCAACGTTTTTGCACCGCATAGCAGTCAAACGGTTAAATATTCAATGTTAAATTCTTTCAAGAAAATAAAGTGTGTGGCACATGATGTACACTGCAATGTTACATTGATGATTTAGGCCCATAAAAACTGCAACAACCCTTCCCCACCTCTTTTTTAATGAATGCCTTTTTATTAATCTAAAATTTTGAATTGAAACATTTAATGATTTTCTAAGTTAGAGTTTAAAAGATTTGCACATCGGAAAAATGTGAGAGTTTGGGTTTTCAAATCTTGGATCCTTTTCGATATTGGAGAATCCAAGAATTAAAATATCCTATCCCTAAGTAACTCTAATTTTTACATTATTTTCTTTTGTATTATGCATAGTATATCCATATGCACATAATACAACTGCATTTTGTAAAGAACTTGAATCCCATTGCATTGCAAATGTTTGCAAATGCAAATCCCATGCATTGCAAATGTTAATTTTTTATATAGCAATTTTTTTTAAATGGGTTTGTTTTGGTTTATTTGATTATTGCAAAGCACTCGAGGGTTATCTGCTTAAGGGAAGGAATGCCAATACCAATGATTTTTTTTAAAAAAGAAGTCTATGAAAAAAGTTTCAAATTTAATTATATACATACATTAAAACAAGCTTTTTTATGTGTAGGTATTTATTAGTTAGCACCTATAAAATTGCATGTCGTAATACGTATAAATTACATTATGTATTTAAAATATCAAGCATGTATTGATTTTCATAGGTCTTGAAAAGCATTTATTTTTTTATCATTTAAATTTCTGGCGAAATTTTAAAAGTTGAAGATTTGCAAGAAATATTAAGTGCATTGTCTACAAATGAAATGCATTTAAAAACCATTATAAAAGTAATTTCCTAAAGCTGCTTATAAAATTCATATATCTAACTTTTTTTTAAAAATTTAAGACAACTGAAGTAACAATTTAAACAAAACTAGTGCAATATAATAAAGTTCAATAATTATTAAAGAGAAATAATGCTTACAAAATTTATTTGTTGTATTGACATATGCTTAATTTTTTTCATATACTGACTTGTGTATTAATTGCGTATGTTAATTCTTTTAAAAACTGTATGTTTTTATTTATTTATTTAATATTTTATTTTTTATTTGTGTGATACTTTTATTAATTTATACATTATTTATTTATAAGCTTAAATTTTTGTTGAATTTGTGATATTTTTTGTTTAGAATGTTTAAGTGGAGACAATGATTATAACTTTTTTATATCTGTTGCTTGAATGACTTAAGTTAATAAAACTTTAATGCTATGTGCGTGTCCACATAAAATCTTCCATGAATGCTTTTATGTAAGAAAATTGTATAGCTTGTTTCTATTATAATATTTAATAATGTGCAATAATCATAAATTTATTTATATTTTTGTAATTATATATGGTATGAACAAAATATCAACCCAAGAAGACTGAAAATGCATAATTAATTCAAAAGTATTTAATAAAAATTCTTATAATCAAATTTTTAGTGTTTTTGATGCAAACTATTATAGATATTCATCTAAAAGCTACATTTCACATTTTATTTAAAAGAAATTATTCTGTTTTAAAATCTCTTCGGTTATACTTCTATTACACAATAATTTTATAAAGCAGAACAAAGAGCTTAAAACTAATGCTTGTGTGCTAATAGTAATTATTTGAAGTCATAATGCATTTAAATTTATTAATATATAAACCAAATACACATACCAGTAATCAAAAATTAATTACAAAGATGCAAATATTAAAAAAAAAAAAACCCTACAAAGTAAAAATTTAAGATATTTTAAAAGAGAGCACCAGATGAGGAAAAACACAAAAATGAGCAGAAAACCACAGATACTAACATTTAATTTTGTATAAAAAAATTATAAGAACATAAATGACATTTTAATGCACATAAAGTTGCAGTATTGCAATAAGATTAAATCATTAATATATAGGTTTAATTTTGCTTATGTAAGAAAACATGAAATATGTAATAATATGAATTTATTTCATTCAAGACCAGCTGGAGCCCACCCAGTGGCCGGGTGGTCAAGATTGCTGAATATTGGTACTTTTCCCTGACTTTGGTTTGATCCCAGGTGAACAGGCTGGCTGCTTCATTGGTTTTTCATAGTTTTTCCCATGTGTATATCAGCCAGTTTCCCTTAGAAGCCACATAAAGGCATCCCTCCTCTTAGGTAGATAAGTTTTTATGGCTTTACCATATTCAAATAACTTAACAAGTGCCAGTTGACAATACTTCACAGCAATAAACCAAAATATTTGTCTACACAATTCCCTTTAATGCCCAATGAAAGAAATGTGAAAAGAAAAAATTTAATGAATAGTCATTGAAATTGCAAATATGTCTCATGAATGGTTGGCATACTGTATTATCTGCTGCATGTCTGACCTCATCAATCCACTCACTAAAATAATCTCCAGAAACATTTAAAATTTTTAACAAGATTAAAAAGTTAAAATTAATCATTAGAACTGACAAATAAATCTATGAATTTACAGAATGATTTTAAAATAAATTAACTGATTAATGAAATATAAAGTGGAAAAAGCTTCATCCATAGTTATGTAGGTCTAATATTGCCAAAATTCAACAAAGTGAAAAAAATCACATCGCTGAAAAATCCAATACATTAACAGAACATCCAACAAATTAATCAGGAATATGTTGATAATATAGAATCAGCTGTGCATGGCTGAATTAACAGTAGGTGAGTAATATATGCAAGATGATTCAATCCATTCACAATATCCCACACCAAATATACCAAAATAATGGAAGACTATTTGAAAGTGTATTATTATTTTTAGTTGAGAAAATTAAGCAAAATAAGATTGTATTTATAATAAACACTTTCATGCCTTATACAATACTCGTGTATATGCATTATATAATATATTGTCACATGCATATGGGTTTGTAATGGATTGAATTCAAGCAGAACTAATGATATCATGATAAAATTTATTTTACTAAAAGAAACACTGTACATTTCTAGAACTTTTCACAAAAATATTTGTACACATCTTCTCACTATCACTAAGTACAATCAGTTGTTACACTTCAAACTATTAAGAATGCCAAACACATCTAAGAGGCGAAGCTCGCACGGAGACAGCCATTTATTCAATGTTAAATAGGTTTGCTCCTGTATTCTTATTTTTCCAGCAGAGTATCATCTTCTTCAAGCATTTCATATTACATTGTACAAAAAATATTACAATTTTGCATATGATTTTACTAAAATTATTTATATATACACAAAATTTTTAACAATATACATATATTTGAGTCACAAGAAGTGACCATCTGTTAATATTCAGAATAACCACTTTTGAAGAATCAGATTGAGGTGGACTCACAGATTCTCAATTGGACTTTAGTCTAGAGAATTTAGCGGCCAAACTACAATAGTTAAGTCATCCTCGTGCTCTTATAACCATTTTTTTCCCAGCTATGTAGTGCACTGCATAGTCATGCTGAAAGATACCAACATTCCCAGAGGAAAGAAGTATGCATATACAGATGTGCATGATCTACATACTTGAAAGATTCCTTAATGCCAGTGATAAGTAATGGACTCGAAGAAATGTCATAAAAATATTCCCCCATATTATATTTTTGCCTATGCTAGCTTGTATTCATTTTTACATGGATTAAAAGCATTTCTACTTTGATGTTTCTGACCATATAACCATCTTTCAAATAAAGCAGAAAGTGTAATTCACCAGAGAAGGCAAACTTTGCCAACTAATGGAGAACCTCTGCCATGTTAATTCAAGTTTTTTTTACCAGTGTGCAGTCATTAGCATAAGTGCTGTCACCATTCATGTCCTGTAGAGCCCATAGGCAGTAAAATTCATTGAACTGTGATTTTAGAACAACTATGGCAGTTTCACAGCTCATTTAGGCGGTAAGTTGCTCCACTGTAACATGCTCAAATACACGGTTATAGCTTTCATTCACCTCTTCCATATGATTCATGCTCTGCAATTTTCACACTCCTTATTTTATATAATACTATTCTACCATTCACGGTACATATTCATTATAGCAGCATACAAATAACTCACAAACTATTTTGAAGTTTCTGTATTTTGAAGTTTCTTCTTCTATGCAGTTTCTGAAATATTGCCATCCTTGTCACAAAAGCTGATAATCATTCCTTATTTGATATACCAGGTTGTTCAATAAGTTTGCGGAACAGAAATGAAGAAACCAATTTTTATTTGTAAAAATGATTTTATATTTCAACATAGTTTCCCTCAACTTCAATACACTTATTCCAATGGTCTTCTAATTTATGGATCTCTTGACTGTAGTGGTTTTTCGGCAGCTCTGCAAAATATCCCTCCACGGCAGCTATTACCTCTTCGTTTGAAGAAAATCATTTTCTACGGAGATATTGTTTGAGGTATGGGAAGAGCCAGAAGTCGGAGGGAGCTAAATCTGGCGAATAGGCTGGATGTTGCAACAATTCATACTTCAATTTAGTTATTTTAGCAATGTTTTTTTTTTTTTTTTTTTTTTTTTTTTTTTTTTTTTTTTTTTTTTTTTTTTGTTTTTTTTTTTTTTTTTTTTTTTTTTTTTTTTTTTTTTTTTTTTTTTTTTGAGCTGTGTGCGCAGGTGCGTTATCTTGGTGGAAAATTATTTTCTTCTTCTGTAATCCGGGTCTTCTTTCACGAATTTTTTCGTCTAATTGATTCAAAATGTTACAATAATAATCCAAATTAATTGTTTTGCCAGTTTGAAGGTAATCTATAAACAAAATTCCTTTCGCATCCCAAAAAACTGATGCTAACACCTTCTTGGCTGGTTTTTGCACACGAACTTCGCTTTTAGCGCCGAAGAGCCGGGTTCACACCACTCCTTAGCCTCCTGTTTTGATTCAGGATCATGATGGGTAGACCCAAGTCTCATCCATTGTGATAAATCGACGGATAAAGTCGCTTTTATTCTTCTTAAAACGCTCCAAAAGTTGCTGGCAAAGTCGCATCCGAATGTGTTTTTGCTCCATCGTTAGAGAATGCGGCACCCATTTTGCACAGAGTTTTTTTGAAACCCAAATTAACACTCAAAATATTGCTCACTGTGCCCCAATGAAATGCCTAAAGCCTCTGTTAAATCTCTTTCAGTCAATCAACGGTCTTCCAATACCATATCTTGTATTTTTTTCCGATGATTTCCGGTGTTGATGCAGTTTTTGGACGTCCCTCTCGCGTATCGTCTTCAAGGCTGGTATGACCACTTTTTGAATAAACTAGCCCACTTTGCAAAACCATTGTTTTTGAAGGAGCAGATTCACCAAACACATTCACCATTTGGGTATGAATTTCCATTGCCTTTAAACCTTTCTTTACAAAGAATTTGATAACTGCACGTTGCTCAATTTTATCCATACCTGAAAAAAGGCACAACACATTAGATATAAAGGGTGGTTAAACAATGAATAAATTAACAGATCGAAATGAAACTTTTGATGTGTTCCTAAGAAGGAACAAATATGAAAATGGCGTCGAAGTTTTAGGTCTAATATTGACGAATAGATGGCGCTCCGTGAACTTATTGAACAACCTTGTTTTGTTCCATTTATTCATGAAACAAACTGCAATGTTTTTCAAATGTCTACAATATTCATATACATACCAAATCTGCTGCTGACACATGCACTATGACGTTATTGACTATTTAGCACTTGTGTCAAACATAGAAGAAGCCAGTCACATTAACATGACTTGAGCTTATACTGAAAAATATAAGCTGGTAGATAGGACCAAATTAAGCAGATTTTGTAATGGAATAAATAAAAATGTATTTAAGTGTTCCTGTTGGCTTAAATAATCATTCTTATCCAAATTTTGAGAGACATGCATTGCTACATGAATGAAAAATTCCATTATGAAAGATGCTTATTTCGGTTTCCTCTACCTTCCTTTATACTTTTGGCAAATATTTTTTAATCACCTTGTATGTAAGCTTTAATGCTTTATTTTTAAAAACTGACTTTCCAGATTAAGTTGGTTTAAGTAATAGAAATGTCAGAGGGAAATACAGTAGAGTCCACCAACTTCACCTAGTGTGGAATAAGAAAATGATGAGTTACTGAAAATGTTAAATATCACGGAAGAAGGTATTGGTTATTTACAACTTATGATGCTTCATTCAACATCTAAACTCATGTTAATTTTCAGCCCAAAATTGCTATTAGTCTTGAGGCATGATTTCGCATTGTTTCACTTTTCATTCAAGTCTGTTGCCATTTGGAAAAACATGATATTCTTTCATATTTAATCTCTCTGCTATTAATTAATAAACTACACTATTTAAAAACAATAGATACATATCTTAAAATTTTTTTAGTCAATACTTTTGCTTTAACACATGCCTTAGAATATATTAATGGTTTGATATATATGAATATATATCGAAAATATTATTCAGTTATTCACTTCCTTAAGGCATCTTTGTTATATTAATTTTTTTTTCTTTTTCTTCGACATTTTCACTTGCACAGACAACACTTGCAAGTCTGGACATAAAGAGAAAATCTACTCAAAATTAACTGAAGTTTAGCTTATAATAGGATGCAGTCATAAACCACATGTCTACTAATGGCTAGCAGCAGAAAGGAAAATGACTGGTAGTTAACAAAAGCTATCTGACTTCTTCAGCTACATTTTACTGAGAAGAGGAATGGGATAGATTGGAACTTTTATGATAAGAACAAAACCTGTCCCCAAATTTATTAAACAGTTCCAAGAAATAGTGTCACAAAGAGAATGAAACAAAAATTTCAAAATTAGAATATCATAATAAATTTGAACAAAACAGGAAAATGAAAATATTTATATGCTTATATGTACTATAATTACAATTATACAGTAATTAAACTCATACTTTTTGCACCATATAAGCAATTGTAGATACTACAGTCTAGCTATTAATAAACAACCACATTATTTCAAAGATAATTTTCTGCTTCACCAGCAGAAATCATTTAGTGATTAAAAATGTTATCATCAAGTTAGACAGAATTTGAGTTTGTGGGACTCTACAAGAAATAGCTTCTACGTAAGTAAATAAATACGTTTCTTCTCAGAACGGTAACATTAAAATGCTCCACTTATTATATAATGATTTATTCATGTTATATTACATATATGCTTGTTGGATAATTCAAAATCTTGAGTAAATCCATCTCCATAATCATTACAGGCTACTAGTAAAGGTTTCGAATTACACATTGGACATTTTTTATTTCTGATGCTAGACGATCGCATCCAGAATATAAGATTATGTCTTTCACCAGCTGAAATTGGCAAGGCACCATGGAGTTGCTGGCCACGATGTAGAATACCATACCCCACTTTATGAGGAACTAACATGCAACTGGATTTATCAATGGGAACATCCTTCATGTCCCCAAAATATAGTTCACCACCTTTAAAGTTCTTGCTGAGGCATACATTCAGAGTGACCTGATATAATAAGAGTCATCATATTAATTAAAATTGTGTTACAATAGAATAGGTTTATAACAGAATATGAGAAAAGTATACATATATAAAGAACAAAACTTTTTAATAATGTTTATTTTTTATTGCACTACAAATTAATACACAATAACATAAATTCACAATTGGAAATTAATATTAGTTGTAACAATTACTTTTTAACATTTAATGACAAAATGACTTCTCTTTTTACTGACTATGGGTAAAGGAATTTTGGTGAAGGAAAAAGAAAAAAAACTATTTTCATATAAAATATTTAGGAGAAGTCTCACAGAAATATTCAGGAAAAATAATCAGACCAGAAAAGTAATAAAACATATAAAGTCCACAAATGTGACATCATGTGATTTGAGAATATGACAATGTGGATTGAGAAGATTATTTGTTAGCAAATCAGTATTAATAGTAGCTTAATCAGTGTCTTAATGGTAATTGAATTTTATTTATATTAAATACGTAAAACATATAGAATTTACATCAAATAATAGAATCAGCAATTGGTTTTGATCCTAGAGTGATTTTTAAAAAGTCTTACCTCACAGTTATCAAAATGATAACTTAAATCAACATCATGGCCAATTTTATAGCCAACAGTGAAAATTTTATGAGAATCTAAACCTTTTCCCCGCCATTCAGGAAAAAGCACAGCTGCTAGAGTATCCAAATATTTAACTCTCAATATGCAGGAAAACTCATCATGGAATCCTAATTCATCCAAAAGTACCTGAAATGAGAATTAAAGAAAATAAAAATTGATATTTGAAAATAGTTATTTTGAATTTTTATGCATTTTACACAAAACAAGATATTTTATTATTCATCTACGCACTCCCACTTTTAATTTTTCAGTCATGATTTTTTGAGAATTAGTGCTATCAGAAACTATCTGGGATTAAAATTTTTATTAAGTCTATAAGTAAATGATTATTTTTTAGTTACCTTGAAGATCTTAATACTAAATATTCTCAGATTTTTCAAAATTAAACACACATCTAGCTTTAAATATTAAATAGTATTTTTCCTTTTGAATCAGTAGTATAATATATTAGTAATATATTTAAAAAACTGTTAAACTAAAAAATAATACTAGATTTTATAAACACTGAAATAGAATATTTATTAAAACTAAGTATGTGTGTTTTATCCTAAAATCTGAAGAAGCCTAAAAAGCATAGCCCTTATTCCTTCTTCAGGTGAACATTTATTATTCAAAGTGAAATTCAAAGTAATATATATATATATAATATAATAATTAAAAAGCTAGGTAGTAAGTACTATATATAATATATTATATAATATAATATATATAATATAATATAATATATATATATATATTCATAAATTCTTTATATGTTATTATTACATTTGAACACCATTTATGTAGATTGTAAACTCTGATCACTTTCTTTTCAAAGTTATTTAAAATTAAACCTACAGTTAATCTATTTATATGCATTTATTTTTTTATTGATTTAAATAATACAGAAAGAATGAAATTATTGAACTAATTTAGATAAATATTTACTATATGTTTTCTGGCTTACAATAAATAAATTGTTATAAACCAGGAAATCTGTTATATACATTTATCTTATTTAGAGTAGATGCTGCTTAATGCAATGGCAGTTAATGTTATTCAGATATTGTTATTGAACTGCCTAAGTTCCTGCCCGTTTGTATAAGAAAATGTGGAAAATACAATTTAATGTGAATAACAAATCGGTTAATATTATCAGAACTTTATAGAATAATTTTAAGTTCTACATAAAAGATAAAATCACTAAATTAGGTAAAAATAAATTATAAAAATTGCAAAGTGTCAGAAAAATGTTGCTAAGCAAAAGATTAAATTGCCAAACAGCTTGTTTTTGATTTTAGCCAAGCATTTAAAATTATCCAAAAAAGTTAGTTTGTCATAAGATTTTGAATAAGTCTATCAATTTTGAGGGTGATCAGACGTAGGACCCTCTTCTTGAGGAGCAAAAAAAATTTTTTTTCGGAATATATTTTCCCTATTCCTGGGGTTTTCCCGAGATTTTTTATAATAATACTTTTATAGCATAAAGAATTGTTTTGATTTTATAAACACTGAAATGGAATTTTTTCAGGAAAGGTACTTTGCATATAACATCATGCCACTATTTGTATTTAAAAAAAAATAGGCTGATCAAATTAGATTGGATAGTGGTAACTAGATATGTATTTTGCTCATTCCGTGAAAAAATAAATCACACTGTTATTTCATGAAATATCATCATTTATGCATTAAAATAATTTTGGAAACAAAAGTAGCTGTATGGCATAGAATAATGAAATTCTTAATCTTTTATGTAGAACTTAAAATTAACAAATTTCTGATGCAATACATATGCTTAACATTTGGTACAATTTCTTTACAAAACAGAAAAAATGGAAAAAAGTTAAATACTCCATATTTGTTCATCGTATTTGGTCGCTCTTTTGGAAGATTTGACTCTTCATAGTGAGCTATTTCATCAAGAAGTGCCAAACAGAAATTCTCTTTAAAGACCTGGAATCCATACAGTTGTTTCTCTAAAAGGAGAATACGCATAATAGGGATTAAATGATCTTTTCACTCAAAACATATGAAATTCAAAAGTTATTCAATTTAATGAAAAGTATTATGAATGAAAACTGATTTTACAAATATAATGGTAGGACATTCGATTGTAATTTTAAAGACTGCATGAATTCAGACTGTATTAAAGGCAAAGCTTTTATAAAATTAGAAAATATTATATATAACATCTATTGATTTTGTTTTTTGAATACTGACTACATTATGAGTGTTACATGTTTTGACACTTCCTCCCCCCATTACTTTTCTTATTTTGATTTTATTATTTTCTGAACCAACAATATATATTTAATTTTTTAATCTTTAATGTTTATATTAAAAATTAAATCCTGTTTATTCTTACTTATAGTTTGTAATGGAGGTTTAGTGAGTTTTGATAATAACTTTTCTTACATTTTATTAGTTTTCCATTAAATAGCAGTTTTAAAACTTTTTTATTTCTTCATTTTAGAGTCAATTCTATTTTTATTAGTTTCTTCACATTATTTTGCTTTTAAAATATAAGTTTAAATTTTGTTTTTATTAATATTGTTTAATTTTTGTTAATAATATTTTGCTTTAATTTTATTAAATTTATTTTGTTGTTAAATCTTGTTTAAATAGAATATGGTTGCTATTGCTCTTCTTGCACTACTGAACAGGAGCTGATACACTAGTGTTCACTCTATTTGGCTGAAAGCTACTGTTATTCCTATATTAAAGAAAAATAAACCTGGTGATCAAATTAATAGTTACAGGCCTACTTCCTTGACCTGTATCTTGGATAAGGTCATAGAATGCATGATTACATCAAGACCAAGTTGGTTTTTGGAGCATAATAATTTATTATCTCCTCCACAGGCTGGTTTTAGAATGTATAACTGCACAGCTCAGCAAGTCATCTACTTTAGTCAAGATGTAAAGGACTCCCTAGATAAATGTAAATTTACCTAGGCAGGTTAGTGGATCTGCCTATGACAGAGTCAGTCACTTAAAGCTTATTGAAAAATTTTACTCCCTTGGTGTGGAGGACAAAAGCTGGCCTGAATCAAAAATTTTATCAACTAAAGATTTATGAGGATTCGCTATGGCCAGAACATGTCTCTTTTTTAGACACACAAAAACTGGTCATTGTGATGAGCCCCTTATTATTTAATATTTATATAAACAATTTTCCTGATATTCTGATGTCTGACTGTGTAGTTAAGACGCTGACGCTGTTTGCTGACAATCTAGTCATATGGAGCTATGCTTCAAAGATCTTTTGATGCCAAAGATCTAATGTCTATAGTTGATGAAATATTTATTTGAACGAAATTTTTTTAACGTGATTACAATCATTCTCATTATAATACAATATACTGAGCAATGAGATATTAAATAATGATTTAATCAAATTTAAATATACAGCTTGCATAAGCAGCTTATAAAATTTTTCAAACCGATATTAACTTTGTAACAAAGTCTATGTAAAAGTTTCTTTAAAGTCTAAATGAAATAATGTAAACATGTTTAAGCTTTCATAGTCTGTGGAGACAACAATATTGAAAAACAATTCTACTCAATACTAAAAATAAAAATAAAAGACTATATTTAAAATTTTTATATTTTTATGCTAATTACAACTAGTAAATTTACTATTTTATTTAGCACAGTTTTTATTAAAAAAATTGTTGATGGAAAATTCTTTACACAAACTTACCCTCAGAAATGACATCAAGTGTTTGCAATGTCTTTTGGAAACCAAAATTCTTAGCTGTTTGCACAAGTGTTAAAAATGATGATGCAAGATGTATTTCCTATTATAAATAGCAAAATTTTAGATAGCAGATATCTGTCTCTAACCAAACATTTGAATTAAAAAAAGTAATATAAATTTTAAACATTTTACCTCTAATCTATATAAACTTGAATTCAATGGCTTATAGCATTTTTTTATGATTTCTTTTCTTTTTAAAGAATTTTTAGCTGCCTGTTTACGTCTGGAAATTTCTTCATGGATCTGAAAACAAAAAGAATTCTATAACAGTAAAAAAGACAGAACATATGTACATATGTGTGTGTGTGTGTGTATGTATGTATATATGTATGTAGGTGTGTAGCAAAAAATATCAAATTTTGATTAATTTTTCTACTTTTTGCAGAAACAGGAAGCACAAAAAATCTTGAATAAGCAAAAAAAAAAAAAAAAAAAAAAAAAAAAAAAAAAAAAAAAAAAACATTTTAAAATGAGAGGACAAACCCTTAAAATTTAGAAAACAAAAAAATTACAGTACATAAAACGAGAAATTTAACTACGCAGTAAAATTTATAACAAAAGCTGTTACATATTATTTTATTCTTCTTTCATGGACTGATCTTCTTAGAAGGTTCTATGGCTGAGCAATGTTTTTTAAAAAAGGTTTTTACATAAGTTTAGAATTAAACTCTTTTAAAGGTAAACATTTTTGAACAACTGTTTGAATTTTAGCTTATCTACAATGCATTTGACTGAACATAAACAAAACCAGATATTAAAAATCTTAAAAAAAGATGGCTCACAAATTAGAAACACATTTAACAAACAGCTCACAAAGGTAGGTTCTTTAAAGCTCACCCTTATATATACAGTACAAAGTTTGTAATCCGGACGTCCACTATCCAGAATGATCTATAATCCGGACCTCAAAGCCACAAACTTTTTTTTGTATGCTTTACACATGCGCGTAGTGCGTTCATGCATGTGCATTTAATGTATAACGGATGGTATAAGCTAGGCTAAAGTTATCTTTACTGATTCTAAGGCATTTCAGTTAATGTTGCAGATTGCGTTGTTCCTTAATCTTCTAATTGGATCCGGCTTATTATTTTTTGCAGACTGTTAGAGCAATTTTATAAAAATTAAGCTTGAACTTCGATTATGTCAAAAAGAGTTTCCAATTATGGAACTGCCAAAGGATCTACAAAGCAAAAGCATGTTTCGATGTCCATCAAGCAAAAAGTGGAATTGCTGCAAAAAATGGGTAAAGGCATATCCGTCTCAAAATAATATTAGGAGTATAACATTTACCATACATCACTGCAGAAGTTGTAAGCAAAGCATTTTATGAGCACTGAATTTGCAAATTTCGTATCCCATATAAAATTATTACACATCAAGGAACATAGTTTCAATCACAGTTATTCAGGAGTTTGGCTGTAATATGTTAGGCTAAAGTCTTTCACATTACAGCATACCATCCCCAATGCAATGGGAAAATTGAGAGGCTTCATAGAAAGCTGAAGACTACTATAAAAGCACACAATAACTCTCAGTGGTCTGAAACACTACCAAAGTTCTGCTGGGTCATAGATCTACTTTACGAATGCAGCAATAATCACTCAATTGCCCAAATGGTAAATGGGACAAAATTAAACTAGCTGGTGAATTTCTTGATCAACCCAATTTCAAAGTTGACCTTGCTACCTTTGTGGGTAAGCATGGATAACTTAACACTTATTAAAACACGGTATGCTACCCATCAAAAACTTTTTGTCTGCAAATATTTAAAGTCATGTTTCATGTTTTTGTGAGAACAGACAAAGTGAAAAAGCCACTTGAACCAACTTATGTGGGACTGTTTCAAGCAACTGATAGAAATGAGAAATATTTTTCTCTGCTCATTTAAGGCAAAACAGTTCATATTTCTGTTGACAGACTAAAGCCCACATACATGCTAGCTACTGATTCTGATGCTGTACCTGACAAAGTGATTATGAATAACAAAACTAAGCAACATTCAAGCGAAAAGTTTTCCCAAGCTATGGATAACAGCAAAACTCTTACAGCCAAGACTCGTTTCAGTAGACAGGTTAAAACTCCCCGTCTGGTTTCGATATTGAAATTAATCTTACAACTGTCTCTCCGTTCCTCACCATGAATACTTATTGCCGTAACTTAGTTACTGGTGAGGGAATGTTGGGAATGGTAATACTTAAAGTAAGAACCGCTAGATGACGGCTTGTAGTAATACATTTAAAATATTAATTATATTTTTACTTCATGAGTTCATGAGCTAAATATTTTAAAAGTGCCCCCCCCCCTTTTTTTTTTTTTTTTGAAAAATAAAGAATTAGAACTGGTCTTGCAAGTTTGTTTGTACCTTCTGTTTTTAAAGTATAGGAGTATATACTAGTTTTATTTAAAATACATGCAATAATTTAAATAAAGAAAACAGCTTTAACTCCCAGTTGAGGGTACAAGGTTGATTTTGGGAGTCACTGGTAACATTTTTCTTTTTCAGCATTAAAACATGCTATCAGAATATATTAATCACCGCTTTTATAGTTGCTTCCAAAAAAATATTATTCTGCCGAAGGTCACCAATCTTGTACCTCCGACTGAAGATTAATCCTTAAACGTACATTCAATAAACATAAAAAAGTTAACAAAATTTAAAATACTTTACTTCTTGGATTAATAAATCGATTTTGAAACCATCATCGTTACCCAAAGCAGGTAAAATCTGAAAAAGATCAGAAGAACTTATTATAAATACAGTATTGCAGAATTGGTTGCCCCTTTGGCAACAAAATTTGTTCAGTTTTGGCGATGAAACCCCATTTCTGGTTACCATGATAATTTTAACTTGGTTTTTAACTTTCTGATTTTTTTTTTTTTTTTAACGGGAAAAGAGATTGATGTGTACATGGACAAGACAGTCAACACAGTGCACAGTCACGAGTTTGTGCAATTTTCTGGTGTTTTTTAAGTGAAAATAAATCGGTGTGTACATGGACACTGAGTTGGTGCAATCCTTTGACTTTTATTTTGGTTTTGTGTAGCGGGCATCTTAAAATTGTGCCGAATCTAGTGTAGAATTGGGTGCCCCTTTGAAATTTTGTTCAGTTTTGGCGCTGAAATCCGATTTCGGTTGATCTTTACATTATGGTAACTTGGCGTTTTTTTGGCAAAAATTTGGCGACCAACTCTCCTACAGCAACCCTCTATTTTTTTTCCCCGCCGCCATTTTGTCTTCACGAAGTAAAGACATGTTTCTTTTCTTTTTAATCTACTGAACACTTCTTCCAACAATCTAGTAGCCGAATTACACTTATGCTAGAAATTTTATCAAACAAAACTGCTTAATCATGACAAATATTCACTGCAAAATTGGGAAAAGTGCACAATAAATACCATACTCCTTACGCGTTTTTCAAAATAACACATACCACATAAACCATGTACACGGCGACTTATTTTTACTTAAAAAAACATCCCAGAATTGCACAAAAATGGCATTGCGCACACTCTTCACTATATATCCATGTACACTGCGTTTTTCTCATAAATTAGAAAAATTTCACGTAAATACATGACAATTTTCTCAATCTTTAAACCCGGTAAAAAAGAACATATATGAAATTACCTGATCGCGAAAAAGTATTTACCCTTTACAAATATGAACATTTCCACATATAAAATAAATAAAATATCCAAAAACTTTTACCTCTAAATCATCTATTACATTATACACGTCACCAACGAATTCATACCGCAAGCATTACAAATACTTAGTATCAATATTTAAATTATTTCCATGCACGTTTATTTCAACTTAAACGTTATATACCAAATTCCTACAAACATAAATTCACAAAATAACTATCATTTAATTATTAAATATCACTAAACCATGTACACGTCGACTTATTTTAGTTAAAAAAAAACATCCCACAATTGCACAAAAATGGCATTGCGCACACACTCTTCACTATATCCATGTATACACTGCTTTTTTCTCATAAATTAGAAAAATTTCACACAAAAATACATGACAATTTTCTCAATCTTTAAACCCGGGTAAAAAGAACATATATGAAATTACTTGATTGCGAAAAAGTATTTACCCTTTACCAATATGAACATTTCCACATATAAAATAAATAAAATAGAAAATATCCAAAAACTTTTACCTCTAAATCATCTATTACATTATAACCGTCACCAACGAATTCATACCGCAAGCATTACAAATACTTAGTATCAAATATTTAAATTATTTCCATGCACGTTTATTTCAACTTAAACGTATACCAAATTCCTACAAACATAAAATTCACAAAATAACTATCATTTCATTAAAATATAATTAAATTCAAAAACACTACTTAAAATATAAATGAGCACATACATTAAATTAATAAAAATTACCTTACAATCCTAATACTTTAAACTAAATCATTGCTAATAACAATTTTCCCAATAATACAAATTCCTTTCCACCTTACATTTAGAACAATGCCATAAAAATAATATCCTCAAATAATTAAAAATACTAACTTACCTAATCTTCTTCAGAATCTTGATTACGTGTCCGATAAACTATTCTTTAGTTACGGCCATGGGATCCAAAAATTCACGAACACTGTTTCACACAACACAGAATAAACCAAATACAAAATTTTCCAGATTTTTTCCCGATTTCCCCCCCTTTTTGTTTCCCTTTTTTCCGATTCAAGAACCGTAATTCGTCCATTAATATCACATGACATATCCCATGATCTCTCATTTCCCTCACACAAAATAATGCGTAATCGGAACTGAGTACTGCTCACATTATTACCAAAGTCCCAGGTAGTAACCTTTATCGCCTCCAAAATGTCGCCAAACTACCAGTTACCATATTGTAAAGATCAACCCCGATTTCTGATTTTCATGATAGTTTTAGCTTCCTGATTTATTCTAAGTGAAATTAGATCGATGGCAGTTTAAGTTAAGGCAGTGCACAGTGCAATTCTCTGATGTTTTTTTTATGTGAAAATAGATCAATATGTACATGGACACTGAGTTTCTTCAATTCTTTGACTTATTTTGGTTTTGTATAGCAGCCACCTTGAAACTGTGCCTTCCTGGCACCGATTTTGGCGTTAAAAAAGAATCGCCAAAAACACAAGGAGCACTCAATTGTAAACTTGTACCATTGTGCCTCCTTGGCGTCAAAAAAAAAAAAAAAAAAAAAAAAAAAAAAAGAAAGAAAGAAAGAAAAAAGAGTCGCGAAATAAACAAGGGGCACCCAATAGTAAACTTTTTCCATACATCAATATAAGGGAACACATAATGAATATTTTCTTCATAAAAGTGTTAAAGAAAATAAATTCAGGAATACTTATATAGCAGTAGTCTATAAACAGTTACACAAAACAATTTACTCTGAAATGAAACTTTAAAAGAGGAAAATAATTACTTCCTTGTAATCCTTACAAAACTGATTTTCATCAATAAATGTAAAATGATAATTACATCTTTTAATATAAATATTGTGGGTGTAGTAACAACTACAAGTGTAAAAAGATTGCATAACGTTTACGGGTGGAAAACATTCTATTTATTATTTAGAATTTTGCCACGGAGTTGTTATACTCCGCGAATTTTACTTATTACGAGTGACAGACGAAGTAGCCACACATATGTGAAGTCTTTCTGCCCGCAGAGTGAAAAATCAAGTTTAAAAAATTTGCGAAAAATGAAGGAAAGAAAACGAAACTGCAAAAAATGCAACACTTTCGCTTAAAGTAACATGCATTTCATATTATTTTGATTTTACCTACCTGAATCTGCTTATTATTTTGCAAATATATATTTTTACAAATCAGTCACTGACTTAAAATGAATCTTTATAATTATTTTTTCTGTTTTTTACTTATTAATTGTTTTAGCATTAACTGTCATGCCCAATTTTAACCGTGCAATATTGTTATGATACAAAAACACGTTTTTTTCTTACTTTTCTTCTTTCCATAAGTAGTCTAATTTACTAATGTGTCGATAATTGGAGAAATGCTGTTTCCAGTGGAATTTCAGCTCGTGTGAAATGTTGAAACAAAGTTTAAGATACTGTACTGTAGGGAAGGCATATCTGTCAATTGTGGCAAAGTGTAGCAGTACTCCGTTATTCGAAAAATTACGGTAATTTTGAAATTTCAGTTAAAAAAATGTTTATATTAGTCTTTGCTTTGTTATATTGAAGTTTGTTTTGCTTTCCTACAAAGTTTACTTGAGATGTAGTATGTGCAAAGGTATCTTCCTATGCTATATGTTGTGTTCATTGTAATTAAAAGAAACTATAGATGCACATTGGGAAGTGAAAATTATAACAAAATATTTTACAAAATATTTTTCCTGTATTTGTCATATTTAGTTCTCATTCGTGATACTAGATATTTTTCATATTTTTATATGTTAGTTGTTTATATCTTTTAATATTATTTTGATTAGAGTAATAAATATTTAACTCAACAAATGATTGTATTGTGTATCTCTTTACGATTTGATATTGCAACTGTAATTTAATCTATTTAATTATAGTATAGTAATTTATGTAAAAGGAAGATGTGCATTAAAGAGACGAGTCATAGCTAATGTTTATAAATTTGAAAGAGTATCGAAAAATGAGGAAGCTATACCGCAGAGTACATGGTATATGTAAGCATAGCCAAAAAAGATAATAGTGGTTCTGAGTTGATAACTCAATGGATTCGCTTTTTTGGAAGTAGCAACCACTTTTCTTATCTTCCCTTTGGTTCCTTTCAGTATCATTTATAATTTTGCATGCTATAGCATCACACTTATCATCTCTTTGCATGTATAATTTATTCTTTGCTTATCTATTGTTTTGTCAGATTTCCCCACTATTTATTATTTACTCTGTACTTTGTTGCAATGAATAAAAGGAATTATTTCCATTTAACTAAGAAAGTTGTTGAAGACAGAGATGCTTGTTTGCAGTGGTGTTGGTGTATCTCTGAAGAATTTCCCCCTTCATTGAAAACATGTTCACAGCAAACAACAGATCAGCGGAGATTCTGATACTACTGATTAAGAAGCATGTGGTAGAGGGAACAATTATTATGACTGATAAGTGGCTGTAAACTCATGCTTAGGCAGGCATGTGTATTATGTGCATCAGACTGTTAATCATTCTACAAGTTTTATAAATCCAGCAATTTGTATACTTACCCAGTTTACAGATTTGGCTGATCACTTACTGGAATACCTTCTGTGATCTGAAGTTAAACATGATGGCAAGATCCATTCACAGAAATTTTGGTTGATCTTTACATTATGGTAACTTGGCAAAAATTTGGCGACCAACTCTCCTACAGCAACCCTCTATTTTTTTTTTTCCCGCCTCCATTTTGTCTTCACGAAGTAAAGACATGTTTCTTTTCTTTTTATCTACTGAACACTTCTTCCAACAATCTACTAGCCGAATTACACTTATGCTAGAAATTTTATCTAACAAAACTGCTTAATCATGGCAAAAATTCACTGCAAAATTGGGAAAAAGTACACAATACCATACTCCTTACGCGTTTTTCAAAATAACACATACACATAAACCATGTACACGTCGACTTATTTTTACTTAAAAAAACATCCCAGAATTACACAAAAATGGCATTGCGCACACTCTTCACTATATCCATGTACACTGCTTTTTTCTAATAAATTAGAAAAATTTCACGAAAATACATGACAATTTTCTGAATCTTTAAACTCGGTAAAAAGCACATATATGAAATTACCTGATCGCGAAAAAGTATTTACCCTTTACAAATATGAACATTTCCACATATAAAATAAATAAAATATCCAAAAACTTTTACCTCTAAATCATCTATTACATTATACACGTCACCAACGAATTCATACCGCAAGCATTACAAATACTTAGTATCAAATATTTAAATTATTTCCATGCACGTTTATTTCAACTTAAACGTATACCAAATTCCTACAAACATAAAATTCACAAAATAACTATCATTTAATTAAAATATAATTAAACCATGTACACGTCAACTTATTTTTACTTAAAAAAACATCCCAGAATTGCACAAAAATGGCATTGTGCACACTCTTCGCTATATCCATGTACACTGCTTTTTTCTCATAAATTAGAAAAATTTCACGAAAATGCATGAAAATTTTGTGAATCTTTAAATTCGGTAAAAATTACATATATGAAATTACCTGATCGCGAAAAAGTATATACCCTTTCCAAAGATGAACATTTGCACGTATAAAATAAATAAAATATCCAAAAACTTTTCCCTCTAAATTATCAATTATAAACCTCACCTACCAATTTCTAACGTAAACATTAAAATGGTTCCAAATACTTAGTGTCAAATACTTAAATTCTTTCCATGCACATTTACTTCTACTCAAACGTATTCCAAAATACTACAAACATATAACTCTCAAAATCACGATCATTAAATTAAAATATAATTAAATTAAAAAACACTACTTAAAATATAAATAAGCACATACATTAAATTAATAAAAATTAGCTTACAATCCTAATTACTTTAAACTAAATCATTGCTAATAACAATTTTCCAATAATACCATATTAATTTATTTACTCCTTACATTTAGAACAATACATAAAAATAATATCCTCAAATAATTAAAAATACTAACTTACCTAACCTTCTACAGAATCTTGAGTGCATGGCGGATCAGAAAATGTCCATGTTCACCAGATTTCTTGCACCACCATTCAAACTTATCTGTAATATCCTTCCTTTCACACAATCTCATTTCATACCCACATGTTGGACATTCATACTTATCTGCAATTAAGCAATTCTTTTCAATTACACATAAACGCAATAAAAATTTCGGATTTACTTTATATAGGGCCATGGATCCAAATATTAAACAACAGTGTTCACAGAACATAGAATGAAACTAATGCTGTACAGCAGATATTTTTACAAATTTACCCTCTTTTCCGATTAAAGAACAGTGATTTGTCCATTAATGTCACATGACATATCTCATGATCTCTCATTTCCCTCACACAAAATAATGCATAATCGGAACTGAGTACTTCTCATATTATTCCCAGTCCTAGGTAGTAACCTTTATCACCTCCAAAATGTTGCCAAACTGTTACCATATTCCAAAGATCAGCTGAAAAAGTACTAGATATACAGTACAAAGTCCGAGATCCGGATGACCAATATCCGGATCTCAAAGGCCACTACAAACTTTTTTTTTTATTATTATATTTTTTTGTTGATACCCCACACATAACAAAACATGTGGAGAGTCCCGATTCTTAATTTCACTTCGGCACTAAATAAAATACCTCGTTATTGAAGAAACAGTCATTTTAGCATAAATTTGTATGATCAATAATTTGGCTCCGTAGCTGCCGGTCATACATCTCAAACTGAAACATTCTACAGATCATTGATTTTACACCTACTAATATTTTATACCTCTGGTGCCAACCTGGCGAATCATTATTTATTATATTTTGCTTGGGGTAAAGTGCAGAATCGCCCACTTATTTGTTAGGTGCTTTTCACAAAAGTAAGAAGAATTCGATTTTTGTCAATTTTCTTTGTCTTTTTAAGTGAAAATGTGTCGATGTGCACATAGATAAAGGCAAAGAAGTATGCAATGCCATTTTTTTTTGCAATTCTGGGATTTTTTTTAAGTGAAAATAGGTCAATGTGTACCTGGATACTGAGTATGTGCAATTCTTAAACGTGCCAAGCAGTGGGTGATTCTGCACTTTCCCTTTTGCTTGCATCACAGCATGTTAATCAACACATGATAACTTGAGTAATGATTCATGGAGTGATATCTAAACAATTTTTTTTTTTTTTTTTTTTTAGTATTAATGAGAAACAGCACGGTAACCTTTTATGTTGACATTACGCTTGGCGATAATTACAGATTTAAATTAAATGCGCTAAGAAATGTTGACAGGAAAAATTTAACAAAAATTTCTTTCTATATGCTAAAAATAGATTTTGTGAATGATACTCACAGGCCAAAAGATTACATTTAGTGCTATTTGAATTAAGCATAACTGATTTGTTAATCATATAAACCCAGAACCAATGCACCGGTTACATATGGCCGCACCGGGTAGCCGAATTTAGGGAAGACAAAGGGAAACGCATGGTAGCAGAATTTAGTAGCCATAAAGATTGCATCAGGCACCGGCCCTCAATAAGCCTTAAGTATATGTGGGAATTTATTTATTCAGGACTCAGATAAGCGTTAAGCATGTGCAAGAAATAGGCATAAGTATAATAAATAACTAAACTAATACAATTCAGGCTTAATTGCCTTAGTGCGCGATAGAAGCTAGATAAAATTTAGCGGAACAACTTGTCTTTAGTCGTCAATCTCATAATACATAGTCAAATATGTATAGTGAACGATAGCTAAATTTTATGATCATAGCCGCGAATCTGAAGGGTTTCAGATATCGCAAACCAAAGGTAAAATTTTCCAGTTAACGGATTTTGTAAAGAAATGTGGAGAAGCGGTAATAATGGATTATGAAAGAAGTTTTTCACTGTGATGACAATGCTGCTCAATCATCAATCAGTTACCGGATGGCAAAATCTGTAGTATAATTCTAGATCCAGAAAATACCGCTACAGACAGAGTGACAAAGAGAAGAAAAAATTTCTATTGACAAGTTAGTCTGAATTCTAGACACAGTAATTACAGGACTTCAACAATTGAACTTTGTAACTGAATAAGAATTTATGTCTGTCTATTGAATTAAAGAGAAAGCACAAAGAAAAGTTTAGCACAAAAAATGAAGCAACTTAAACAACTTGAAAGATATGTTTAACGAAGTAAAAAAATAAATATTAGGTATTTTTGTAAGTTTTGATATCCTTTAGATCGTAAATGCTTCATTATTTCATAAATCAAGATTTCATATTTTTAATTTTATTATTTCTACATGCCATTTGACTAGATTTAAACTGATAATCTAATATCCGGAAAAATGTGGAATCGCAAAGTTTTGACGAGTTCAGATCTGGGACTTTGTACTGTACAAGTGTTTTTTAACTCTTTGAAAATGCTAGAATTAATTAAAAATCTATTTCAATAATAATACTAATGTTGATCTTTACTTTTTTATACTAACTTACATATGTTTATATCTCATTTTTCTACGATCTGAATTTAATTGCATCAAATATCATGTTTAAGCAGTTAATTTTTCTTGCATGTCCTTAATATCATGCTTTGCTGCTAACCTTCATGTGACTATTCTAATAATGTTTAACAAGCAATTTTACATACATATGCTTAATATCATGCTGATATAATACTGTATACCTTGGCGAGCTTGGGAAAAAATGCACTGTCATCAACAGGTTTTTATTACGTATGTTTATTATGTACGATATTTCCAATGTGATTTTTGCAGTAATAAAACCAAAAATGACTGTTGCTACTATTAATTGTATCTGAAAATTGAAAGGATTCATTAGAAACATTTTGCACTGATCATTGTAATAGAAAAATTGTTATAATGATAAAATTTTGGTTCGTTATTACATGACTCCACCTCTCAATGTAGCCAATATCATCAGTGCAAACCATCAAATGGCCTGCAACCCTAGCCAGGCTAATTTATAGTTTGCTCATGGTGACAAGAGCTCCTATTAAATCATGTATTATGTCACTTTCTTTTTTCATATTTCATATTAACAGTTTACAGTTATTCACAATTCTCTCATCATGAAGAGATCTGAATATTCCACATTTTAACAAAATTTCTTTTCCTTTCTTTCTCTCTCTTTTTTTTAATGTTAAAATTTTTTGAATTACCAAGAAGTGAGGAAGATGCTATATCCAAAAAAGATGCACTTCGCCCTGCATTCCAATATGTGAAACTGACTATTTAATAAAAGTGTATATCGATGAAAGCTAGAGAAGGGAAAGCACATGTTTTGATAACTGGTTCGGTAGTTTCAGAATACTGTTTGTAAAAGTACAGCGATTTATTTACTACAGTCAAAAGTCGTTAATCCGGACTCATCGGGACTTCGGCGATTCCGGATTATAGATCATAAGTTTAAATCTGGCAAGATGGCACGCAGAAATTATAAAATTAAAAATATGAAACCCTAATTTATGAAATAAAGAACAATTATGATCTAAAGGGTATCAAAATTTACAAAAAAAAAAAAAAAAAAAAGCTTAATATTTATTTATTTGTTTACTTTATTAAACATTTCTTTCGATGTAAGTTGTTTAAGTTGCTTTGTACTTTATGTGATAATACATTCTGTTTAATTCTATAAACAGACATAATTTCTTGTTCGGTTACAAAGTTCCGCTGTTCAAGTCCTATAATTGCTGTGTCGAGAATACCGACTAATTTGTCAATCGAAATTTTTCCGTTTTCAATAACCTCTGTCACTTTCTTCGCTATCCGAGCGAATTATAATGACGAGGAATTTTATTTAAATCATATCAAAGAGAGTACATTGAGATGAAATACTACATTTAGTAAGGAATTATAATTCAAATAAAATAAAAACATCTTCCCTGAAAATAATGATAGTGCTGACAGATCAACTTCCAATTCATTCCTTAAATTTTGTTCAAAAAAGAGCAAAATATGACAGAAAAAAGGTCACTGTATTTTTTTCATTCTTGAATGACTGAATATGAAGAATTAATATAAAAAATAACTGGAATTGTTGACCCTTCCTGTCTAGTTTTTAGCCTTTGCTTGGGAAAATATTTTGCACTATTCCTAATAATTATCATTATAAATTTCCGTATTGTATTTGGTCTGAATTGTCTTAATTTACTATGCACATTAGATTAAGGCATCCACAGGGGCTCACTCTTTATGAGATAGGTGTAGCAATCTTGAGGAAATATAGCCCTTCAAGGTATCATCCTCTTGGCGAGCCAGGGGTCACAATCCTGGAGCCCTAGTGATCATTCTTCCTTTTCTTTAAACCCTCAGAATTTAAAAATTCAGGGTCTCTTCCTTTGTGGGTATGGATATTTGCAATCCCGAGGTACTGTAGCCCTTCAATGGATCACCTTTTTAGTGTGGCAGGGATCGTGATCCTCGAGTATTAGATATTTTTGTCTCTTTCCTTTTTGTCTCTTCTTATCTGTTCCTTTTTCATTTTTCCTCCCTCATGATTTTCCTTTTGAGAGGCTGGGATTCAAACTGAGATGCTGTAGCATCTTTTTGTTTCCCCATGGAGAGAAAACTGCCTGTGCATTCTCCATGCTTTGTGGCCCATGAGGCTAGAAAGAAGGGTCCTGGTAGTTGAGAGGCTGAGTACTTTCCCCAACACACTGCTTTGCCCTCTGCTTTAGATTGAAATGGAAGGCACTTAGCTATCCCCACTACTGTCATTAGTCATATAGCAATTAAATGAGACTGGTGACTAGTCCTTAGTATCAGTGACTTTGGGATAAGCTCTTGGGAGAGCTGACTTTGGAGCTTTAGATAGCATATAGACGTGGTTTAGCCCTCGCACTTGGAATCTGCGGCTACTTGTTGGACTTTGAGGTGGGTAGGTCCTCCGGATCCGAGTCTTATATTTTCAAATATGTGTGACTCAAATACCTTGAAACTACTTCTTTGGACATGTTACTGATAGTCTATCTAAAAGCAAACCTCACTTTATTGCTATTAATCACCTAGCAGGCAAGCTTAAAAAAATATTTCCATTTTTAATTAACAAATATATATATATATATAAGCATAAGCTGGAAGACCAGAGTTCATGGAACAACTGTGGTCTGGTGACCTAATGATGGAAATTGTACATCTTATACAGTCTGTAACACTCTTGGTATATGTCCAAACTTGGAAATCTGGATTTTGTGGCTCAGCACAAATCTTTCTCTTTTGAAGGAAAAATTAATCTCAGAGTTTTTGGATCAGAATGTACTGTTAAGTGGATTAAGATGGGTAAAGAATCTGAATTAATGATACGTAATCAGTGTGCCTGATCTGCCTAAAAGTGTCAAAGCCAGGTATCTCTACTGTCATGTATGACCTTACATACCTAACTGCATGCAATAATTCTAGTGCCAGGATTTTGGTAACTCAAAGATGTCATGCCATAAAAAACTTGCATATGTGTGCTACTCTGTTGAGGGTCATGACAGTGATTCTTGCAACTTTGCACTACTGTGACAAAACTGCAAAGGGGTTCTTTCATTTACATAGCTTTCTCTCATTCTTGTTCCAGACAGAAAATCAAAAAGGAGGTGTAGACTGTAAAAGTTACAAAAAACATAACTTAATGCTCAATAGTTATGTTTTAGATAATTTAAATTTGGAATTTTTTTTTAATTTTCATTGATGAAATTCTTTGGATTTATAGTGAACTGTATTTATATATTATCATTCATTAGTTTGTTTGGTACTTTTCCGTTTGGCCGGCGCAAATCTCACCAAGCAAACTTTTTTGGCGACAACATACAGTATACACACAAAAAATTTTAACAAACGTTAGTTCTAAGAATTTTTTATTTTGAAGGCATAAACATTTTAATATGGTTTAAAATTTTGTAAAAAGACAATAAATTTGTAAAAAGACATTAATTTAAGAATTTATTATGCTATCATGGTTCAACATCCTGATTCGTCAGTTCGTATCACGCTCCAAATAATCTCATCTCATGTAAACTATGCTACAAAAATATAATTCGCTACATTAATTTCAAGTTAAATCTTAATTTGGAATACAAGTTTAAATGCAAGAATTATTTCAATTCGTACGAATAGCTTACTCAGAAATTATGTAAAACTGCAGTGCTTTACTTTGCTAGTGCATTCTCATTAGAATGGAGAATTTAACCCTTGACTTTGCCTTTTCTATATTTTCGTCTTCGGGTGAGCGGTGTGATTGCAACCTAATTGACTTAATTACTGCGAATGGTCTTAAAGCATAAAATTTAATTATCTTTGTAAATATTCTATGTAATTGTATACCAATATTGAAAGAATCAAGCTGGTAAGAAATGGCTGCGACTTGTTTTGAAAATGAGGCATAAAAGGTTACCAGCAAAGATTAACACCGTTTGGCATCAGAAGTAACATTATTGGCCACTTTATCACTTGCGCCCGCAAAACGGAAAAGTACCGTTTGTTTTTATAGCACTTTGCTTTACTATTGATTTTAATAATATACACATCAGGTATATTATTAAAATTATTTACACCTTATCTTATATTAAAATTATTTACACCTTATCTGATATGATTTTAATAATATCAGATAAGGTGTTTTCTTAATCATTAAAGAAAAGTATCTATTTAATAGAATAACATAAAACATATCTTAATAGAATAACAAACACCTTTAATATATTTTTATTCACAATGGTTTTTGTGATGGACGTTCTGTTTCTCTCATATTTGTAGGTTTTCTTTATATTTGAATTGAATTATTTCTTTTTCTTGTAGGGGTGAATTAGTAGTTCAAAGAAAACTGACAAATTTGGACCACTTTTGTCATGTGCATAAAAATATTACTGAAACTATTACTTCTGAAGAGGATGCTAAAACATTAATTGCTAAACTTGAAAAAGCTGCATTAGATTACAAGCCTCCAAAACCATTTGAGGAAGTACAGAGCAATAAAGATGCAGTTGAATTTTTAGATGAACTTGGCCCTCCCCTTCCTGTTGCTTTCAACTTAGCAGCTTATGTGAATCGTTCTGAAACGCTAGTAAAATTAGTACAGTTGGGTGTAGATTTATCAAGAATTGAAAGGAATCCTGAAAAGGCTAAATATATTTTACAACTAGAATTTGAAAAAGATGTGAAATGCCATATCCAATTTTTGCTTGATAATGGTGTAGACAGTGATGAGTTAGGTAAATACATAACAAATAATCCTTTCATATTTAAAGAAAGGATTGAAGATCTTGAAGTAAGAATTAACTATCTTAAAAGTAAAAAATTTAGTGAAACTGCCATCTCCCATATGATAACAAGAAATCCACTCCTTCTGAGTATGGAAACAAGAAAAGTGGATTCACGTTTAGGATTCTTTCAAAAACAGTTTCATCTGACAGGTGATGAAGTACGTTGTTTTGCTACAAAATGCCCTAAGCTTATTTCCTATCCATTTCAAAAAATAATGGTGAGGTTTGTTTATTGTATTTTATATTTTTCTTTACATTTTTCTGTTTTAATTGGAAGTAATAAAAATTTACTATTTAGCTTTGGTATTATTTGAATAATTTTATGAAACTATAGTATGTTATTTTATAGTAAAATTAGTTTTCTGAAAATTTCTATTATATGTAATATCCATTCTATAAATAATTTGTGACTTAAAAAAAAGTCATTTACTTGCAAAAAGAAAAAGGGATATTAGTTTTATGTATATTTTTAGATTTTTATTAAAGTATGTTTAGTTTGTATTTATACATATATATATTCCCTGCTTTTCATGCATTAATATTATGAAAAGAACATATATTGAAAATAAGTTTCTTTGTAAAAAGCATTTATCTCAGTTCAAAATCTAGACATAGGTGTAAATTACCATCTTTAGGAAAAACATTTAGTCATTGAGTATATGTTTTACAATTTTGCTACATGAAATCTTATCATATTTTTAAAAAAAGGACTATAGCTATGCATAAAATATACCTGCATAATCCAAGCAGCCTGTTAAATTGTCTTTCTGATCCATGTTTATCTTTCTATATTTCTGCTCGCATATATGTCAAAAATTTTAAGGGGGGGGAAGAAAAGAATCAAAAGTTTTTTAAAATACAATTGAAGATCACAAATACATATAGCTTGGTCACCGAGGTGACTAGATTTCAGGTCATAAATAAAATATCATTAGATTGAAACCTAAAAAAAAGATATGAATAAATGAAATTTTATTTTGAAATTTTGAACTTTTTTTTTTTTTTTTTTTTTCTTAATTTCCCTGCTTTCAGATTACACATAATAATTATCTCCTGATCAGTCATACAGTTTTGCTGTTCAAAATTTGTTTTTCTTGAATTACTGGTAGGACCGGGATAATCATGTGTTCAATATTTGCTGTTCTGATATTACAAAAAATTTGGTACTATTCGGTTTTGAGGGCCGTAAAAAATTGCAAACTATTGTTGATGGCAGTGCTGCCAAAAATAATTGCGGCAACCCTAACGCAAGAAAGGAAGTATAATAGTAAATAATTATTTAAGATTGATGTTTTAATTTAGATGAAAGGTTAATTTCATATAATACTTTTTTATTATTATAATTTATATAAAAAAGGCTAAACATGACTGAATTGAAGCATAAGAGTAAATAACTATTTCAGAACGTTATTATAATTTATATAAAAATTGCTAAACATAACTGAATGGATGCCTGCATCGCTATTTCGCTTATCGCTACCAAGTTATCGTTAAAGCATAATTTTATCTCGTTGGTTGTTCAAACATAATTTTCTATAATGAATGATGCCTTTTCTTTGAAAAAAATTATCCGTAAAGTGCAGAATCGCTCACTTATTTGTTTGCCGCTTTTTAAAAGGGTACAAACAATTGGATTTTTGTTAATTTTCTTTTACTTTTTAAGTGAAAATAGGTTGATGTGTACATAGATAAAGTCAAGGGTGTGCGCAGTGTCATTTTTGTCCAATTCTGAGATTTTTTTTAAGTGAAAATAGGTCGATGTGTACATGGATACCGAGTATGTGCAATTCTTAAAAATGCGTCAAGCAGTGGGTGATTCTGCATTTTACCCAAAATTCTATTGCGAACTTTTCATCATGGGCAATTCCCAAATTGTTAAATCCATAGGATATCAAAAAAAGATTTAAAACTTAAACTAGTATTTCAATAATACTAGTTTAAGTTTTAAATCTTAAGAAAATTAGAACTATATAAACTTACGCAATCTGAAATCAGCGCGTACTCTAGATTTGGCGCTTTTGCGCGTACATTTTCCCTGCAATTTTTTACGGTCCCCAAAACGGAATAGTACCAAAAATTTTAATTTTTAGTTGAAGTTATCATCAGACATTAAACATTGATGCAAAATTATAATCTGAAATAGAAGGTGGTGCATGAAAAATTAGCCCATCTGCCTGCTATAAGCCATGTTATCGATAATTGACTTGCAAAAGATTAAAATGAAGATGTTCTGATTATGTTGGGATGCCATTACATGCTGTCCTAAATAATGCCGCTTGGCAGCAGTGTCCTATATGTGCTTTACTAGTGTCTTATTTGCTTAATTTGTCTCCTCTCTCTCTTTTTTTTTTTTTTTCCTTGAGTGGGGGAGAATTTCTACAATATTCAGCTTATTGGAGCTATCCAGTTAGTTGCACTTTTACTGCATCTAAAAATTTCTTATATTGAAACAATTCAGAGGTATTTGATATAAATATTTCCTAAACATAAAACAGAATCGCTGTTTTTTTAGTGCTTTTAAACAAAGCAAATTTTTGTAAAGATAAAGGAACTATATTTGTTAAGAGGTATATTTAAATGTTTATAAAAATTCCAAAATATATGTTAGTATTTATAGTGACAAACTGAAACTAACTTATTCTCAATTTTTTCTATAGTTGAAATTTTATATGTATACCATATATATGTAGTGGGGGAGTTGAAGATGCTAAATAACAATTCCAATGTATTTTTCACACCACAGAACATTTAATAAAGGAAATCGGAAGAAGGTACAAATTGAATTAAATACAAGGGCCGTTTGATACACACAGGATTCTGTATAGCTTTTGCCAGTCTTATCACATAACTGATTAGTGCCTACTCGAACTTGCTGATGTATTATACAGTCAATTTACCACCTTCACGTGGAAAACTACAGTTCTTTATTCTACACCTTCACGTGTAGACAGACATCTCACCACCTTCGCGTGGGATAGCAGAAGAAAGTCTCTCTCATACTCATCTTTCACCTCGCTCTCGCTGCTGGCACAACGGTGAGGCTCTCTGGTGGTTGTGTCGCACTTACAGATACCACATATATATATATATATATATATATATAAAGATCCTTTTTTGGACTTTGTTTCACAACCATTGGTCATATACCTGTACCTCCACTTACAAAAATGCATCAAATAATTCAAATATTCATGTTTTAAATTTTAAAAAATCAATTTTGTAAAAGTTGCAAAAGTTTAACTTTTTATACACTCTTCTAGTCTAGTCTTTATAACCATTATAAAACATTGTATAACCATTATAAAAAGTAAAATACAGAAAGTTTGATTCTTGTGTACAAAAATTGATCAAGTTGTTACATTTTAAAGAAGCGCATTGGCTAGCATATGGCACAGCAGTAAAACAGGTCCGGGGTTCGATCCCCGGGCTGGGCAAAGTTGACTCAGCCTTTCATCTCTTGAGTGTGTCGATAAAATGAGTACCAAGTTCTCTTGGGGACTAAAATCCGTAGGGGTCCTGTGACAAACTGACCCCTTGTCCAGGGCATATGCTGATACACCTTGGGGGCTCACGGTCAAAAAAGCAGATAATGGGCACTGCAAGCCTAGGCCCACTAGGGCTGTTGCACCACTCAGTTTATTTATTAATTACATGTTCAGGGCTATACTTTAATTGAAGAGAGAAGTGTTTGCATTTGTAAATAGCAAAAAATAAAATATCAATTTAGGAAAAGATTTCTGATGTTAACAGATTAAACAGCAAGCATCTCTATGCATATTATTGTGAGAAATACTGATCAATACAATTAAAAAAAAAAAAAAAAAAAAAAGTAATTGCAGAATTATAGAAAAATATTGGCTGGTTTTAGTATTGACACATCAAAAACTTGTAACATTATTTTAAAATGTTAAATTTTATACAGTACAAAGTCCGTAATCCAGACTTGTTAGGACTTCGGTGATTCTTGATTAAGGATTTTTTTGGATTGTAGATCATCAGTTTAAATCTGGTAAGATGGCATGCAGAAATTATACAATTAAAAATATGAAACATAATTTATGAAATGAAAAGCAATTATGATCTAAAGGGTATCAAAATTTAAAAAAAAAAAAAAAAAAAAAAAAAAAGCTTAATGTTTATTTGTTTACTTTATTAAACATTTCTTTCAATGTAATTTGTTTAAGTTGCTTCATTTTTTGTGTTAAACGCGCATGCATAAAGCATACAAAAAAATGTTTGTGGCTTTGAGGTCTGGATTATAGATTATTCCGGATAATGGACATCCGGATTGCAGACTTTATACTGTATATATATTTTTAATGAAGTTTTATTTATTTATTTATTTTTATTTTTTATTAACAGCGCCAGATTTCTGTATAAGCTGCACAAGCTATAGCTCAGAGGACCCCTTCAAAAATTATACTCTTTCTCATTTTAAGAAAAGATATGTGTTATATCCCTTATAAAGGGCTCCGTATCTCAAATAGCTTAGGATCTCGTCAAATCTAAATCCAATTCCTGATTATTAGATTTATAGTGATAAATTTCATGAGAAAATTAATAATTTTAGCATTCGAAAACTTAAAAATTACTTGTGGAAATATTCTTTTACCTTACCGTTTGAAACAAAATTATAAATTAATGAATGTTGCATTGTAATTAATTGCAAAAGAATATTACTGAATGACATTTAAGGGGGGAAATTAACCTCAACCAATCATTCTAATATATTTTTTAACTTCAAGGCCAGGTAGAGGTCAGATATCTCAAATTTTGAAATGAAATATCTTGGTCATTATTTGTCATATGGCTGTAAAATATTTTATATTTTATATTTATTAATAAGTATAAAATTTTCCTAAATATAAATATAGGGGCCAGAGAAGTGTATAAAAAGTTAGGTTTCATAATATTTGTAAAATTTAGATTTTTTAAAAGTAAAAATGTCAAAGCATGAATATTTGCATCATTTAAAACATTTTTGTAATTGAAATTATATATCTGTGACCAGCGGTTGTGAAAATAAAGGCAGTGTACAGACATTTGTGGTGTTAGAGGATATACATGTATATAAAAATAAGTTCATTACGAGAAAACTGCATCGAAATATTTCTGATAATGCACGGTTTGTGTATTTTACTTGGTTAGTGTACTCTATCATTGTTAATGGTTTATTAAAGATTTTGCAGAAGTTCCAAATTAATGCTAAGCCTGAATTGTGAGATGGCTGATGTAATAAGTATTTCTTGAAAAAAAAAGTTTTTTTATTATTTTTTAGTTAAATGATCATTATTTGATTAATTGTTTGTTCTTGCTTTCCTTTCTGTAGCTAGTCTGCGATGATGTTATTATATTAGTTATTTAATTTCTTTCTCATTTATAAACTGTATTTCAGGTTTTTAAAATGTATTTTAGCAGTGTCTGTTATCAAAATTTCCTCAGGAAATTACTTAAAATCTGAACTTGAACTGTTTATTAGTTAGAAAAGAACTTTTTTAAAAATTAGCACAAAATGTTTAGCAGCCATTGTTAAAAGTTAAGTTGGATTTATAAACAGAAAATGTTAATCTCTTCATGTTTGATCGTAACTTATGATTAAACATAAAACTATACTAAACATTAATGTTTTGTATTTCAATACATCAGTGATCTTTGATAATATTCAGATGGAGAATGGAATCTTTTATACACTTTTTAGATGGAAATAACTCATCACACAGTGAAAAATTTATTTCATTGAAATTGAAGTACTTTTTAATATATTGAATTTTGCCTTTCTTTACAGATCATTTCTGTGCTGACAGAAAGAGAAAATGTGATTAAAAATTTTATGTTTTAAACTTGTTTATATGCATCTAATATTACTATTGTTTCATTTTTATTTATAGGAGAAATTATTTATATTCAAGGAAGAATTAGGATTTTCAAGTAAAGAAATGAAAACATTTTTACTTAGTAAACCAAAAGTATGGATGTTAGGTAAAAAATCATTATGATTATTCATTTTTTTATTTTCATTTTTACTTTTTATTTTTGAAATTATTTGCAAGATTACATAAAAGGTATTTTTAAATGTGAGTAAATGGGAGCGACAGTTTAGCTTCTTGAATAATTTTGTCTCAATATTTTTACAAAAGTAGTGTATGGAAGCTATTTATTGTTTGTTATCTGAAAATTCTGTTTACCTCTCTTTCTCATGTTAAGGAGTGTATTAAGTGTATAAAATTTTATGTAGTATTTCTACTTATGTTTTTTTCCCCTCTACTTTCCCTTTAGGTCCTAAAACTTTAAAAGAAAGGTTTGATATTGTGCATAATCTTATGGGTCTGTCTCATGAGCAGATTCTTAAATTCCCGGGTGTTTTTCTGAAACGAAGTTTTCTACTAAAGCAGAGACATCAGTATCTTGCTCATCTTGGCCGTGCTCAGTATGATCCTACAAAACCTAACTTCATTTCACTTGCTGACATAGCAACAACTACTGATTCTGCATTTTGTAGCATTTGTGCACACACATCAGTTGATCAATACAATGAGTTTCTGAAGACATTATAAATTATATTTAACTCATGTACTTTTTTAAAAATCAAAGTCAGTATAATTAAATATTTTCTTTGTATTTCATGATGATTATATATAATTTACAGTAATGGTGATCGTCAAAATGTTATAAGAATTTGTTGACTTAATACTGAAATATAAATTTTCGAAGTACTGATGTTGAATTGTAGTGCCTTTTATTTATTAAGTCATGATTATAATTTTGGTATTATTAATCACATAAATTTGTTGTATGTTTTTGTAGTTCACATCTTTACAAATGATTTTAGTGTTTTGTAAAATATGACAATTTTGTCAATAATATGATCAATACTTGTGCTAAAACCAGATTATGTGGATTTTTTCATTCTCATAAAATTTTATTTATTTCATTTTATTTAATGATTATGAAGAATCAAATAGTTTTCTCTTTCAATTAAGAACTTTAAAATGTGGGGTAAGCAATATTTTTCTTCCTATTTTTCTATTAACACAGCCCCTTAATTTGTTATCACCAAGGAGTGAATGTTTTTAAATAACATAACCACCAGTATAATTTATTTTCCTCTTTTTTAGTCCAAAAGATCCATTTTGGGATATTAGTCTTGAAAGTCTATAGTAATCTCGTATTAGTCTTAAAACAGCATTTTGCGTTGAATCACTATAAAGGATGTATCATTTTTCAAGCTGTTGCTACCAAATATTATGGTCCTCTAAAGGAATTAAAAAATGAAGATTAGGATTTTCAAGTAAAGAAATTAAATAAAGAAAAATAAGAAAGAATTAAGAAAAGAAATTAAATAATTATTAGAAATTAAACAATGAAAAAATTAAAAGCAATTAAATAATGAAGAATCTCCATTGATATATGCATGTTTCTCGCATTGTGAAAAAGCAAAACTACCTAGAGCCATCAAGTTTTGAATAACGTAGTCCTTCTCTTGAACATGGGCAAATGGAAGCCCGAATTTTGAACTTGTTTTATTATCTATTTCATATTTTGTAAAACTTTAACAAATTTTTTATTAACAAACGCAGTGATTTCAAAGCAAGTAAGGGCAACACTATACAGAAAAAGACATTTTTATCTTCAGGACATGAGACTGTTTATCAGAAATTCTAAAGATATATGGTTTTTAAAAATTTGAGTTTGCTGTTGAATCGAATTTTATGTGGCATAAGCAGTAAAAACATTGTAAGGATCTTAAGTTTTACTAACGTTTATTTTATTTTATTTTAAATCTTTACTATCACTTCTTATTTTCTACTTCTGGCCAGAATTATAAGCGTGAAGGTTTTTATGCAAAGTTTGTCTGGCGAACGCCAAGTATTTAAGTGTGGCCTTTTTGCCAAGTGAGAGAGAGGAAGCAGTTGAGTCAAAGCAGGCCGCTTACCTTAGAAGTTACGCAGTTGCTGTTTGCCTTCCAGGCCAGAGGTTTTAATCCTCTTGATAAATTAAACGTATTGTAGTGTTCACAGTCTCTGTGCTACATACGCTTCCTGTTATTATAAGGCCAATCTTCCACGTGTTTATTATTCTAAAGTTAAATTAGAGTTTAGTTTTATTTTTATACTTTTACGTTAGACCCCGAGTGGAGGGTCATTGTATTCCGAAGTACGGAAGTTATTGTATATAGAGAAAAATAAAGGGTTTTGTATACCCTTCGTCTGTATCCTGTCTACTTACCACAATTAGTGAACATAGCTTTAGTAAGCTCTCTGTTCCGAGTCAGGTCCTTGTATGTTCCCGAAGAAGGTTAGAAGGAACATTGAACCTGATAGTGGCGCCCAACGAAGAAGAATAACCATGGCCGAGTTTCAAGAAGAACCTGTGCTGCCTGCAGAAACGGCTCAGAATCCAGAAATGCCAGCTGCCGCCCTGGAAGGATTTCGGTTACATCGTCCAGACCATGCGCGCTTCGATGAAACCAGAAGCAACGTTTAACGGAAACTCACCGGTAACCAGTTTTTTTGGAAAAATTGGATGACCACTTCATGCTCTACCCCGTGCACGAGTTTCAAAAAGTTACCTTAGCTACCAGCGCTTTGAGGGGCCAAGCGCTTAACTGGTTCAAATGTATAGGCAGAAGTCTCTTGGGTCAAGCAGGAAGTCCCACCTATACTTACGAAAATTTCAAGACTGCCCTACTAAAAGCCTTCCCTGTTGTAAGGGATCGTGCGAAATTAGAAACGGAACTTTTTCAGTATATATCAACAAAGAATCGAAAACCTCTCGAGCTTTATTTTAAGAAAAATTCACGTTTCAAGCTCTTGTATGGAAACCGTCCGGATCCTGAAATAATTCAAGTGATTTTGCCGAGGTTACTGCCCCAAGTGCAAGACTTTATTGAATTAAGAAATCCGACTACACTGGAAAAGTTATTTGAGCTAGCAATCCAGTTTGAAAGTAGAAGAACGGCGGACGTCGAAAGAAGACGCCAATATCAACAGCGAAACCAATTTGGTACGCCAAGACTACAGCAAACTCAAGCATACGGCTACGGAGAAAAAGCGAATCAGTGGGCAAGGAAACCCGAGCATTCAAAAACAGCCGGCGAACGTCGACAGTTCAATAGCAACCCAGGAAAAAAGTCTCAAGGCCAGTGGAAAAAGAAGGAAAGCACGGAAAGGAAAAATAATTTAAACTAAAACGGATTTCTGCTGACGAGAGGGTGCGGAAATCCGAAGGCCACGAAAACCCCTCTTCCTACAAGTTAAATACAGTAATGGTGAAAAATTTGACTCTTCCGAAGATTGAAGTCTTGGTGAATAATATCCCAGCCACCGCACTCCTGGATACCGGCGCGCAGTGTTCCTGTGTGGCAGAAGAGTTTTTTAGAAAGTATTTTCGCAAATACCGCATATATAATGCGGATAATACAACAGTGTTAGCGGCGCAAGGAGAAAAATGTAAGTGCGTAGGTAAAGTACCTTTGTATATCCGTATCAAGGACGAACGAACAGTAAAGGTGATGTTTTTATAGTAAAGAATCTGCAAGCACATTTAATCTTAGGAATAGATTTTCTTTCAGACGGCACAAGCAACACTGGATTTTAATGAAGCGTCCCTTAAGCTGACATGATGAAACCAGTTCGTGTAGAAAAGGCTGAACCGCCGAGGTTAAAATCTTGACCACCTGCCTAATGACGAGCAAGATAGAATCCGACAAGTGGTAAGTGAATTTGCTTCGTTATTTAGTGATATTCCAGGATTTACTCAGGTTACTAACCATAGTATTGACACCGGAGATGCATTGCCAGTTCGTCAAAAACCATACCGGTATGATAAGAATAAGGAAAAAATTATAGAATGGCATATTACCGATATGCTACGTAAAAAAGATCATAACGCCCATCTCAAGTAGTTATGCTAGCCCGGTGGTTTTTATGTAAGAAAAATAATGACTATCCTTTGGAGCATCCAAAAAGGTGGAGATTCGCTATTGATTACCGTAAATTAAATTCCATAACGAAATATCCGGTATATCCGTTACCGATCATAGAAGAAATTTTAAGGAACATAAAATCAACCAAAATTTATGACGACTTTAGACTTAACGACTGGTTATTTTCAAATAGGGGTGAGGCCTGAGGACGTGCCTAAGACTGCTTTTATAACCAAGTCTGGCACTTATGCATTTTTGCGTATGCCGTTTGGCCTTTCAGGGGCCCAGCAACATTTCAGCGATGCATGGACATTGTGTTAAGACCTGTTCTTGGAAAGTCCACATTTATCTATTTAGACGATATCATTATTACTAGTGATAATCTCGACCAACATGTACAGGATTTAAGACAGGTGTTTTCTTTATTAAATGAGGCCGGTCTAAAAGTTAATGTCGAAAAGTGCAAATTTGCAGCCCCTGAATTAAAATATTTAGGTTACAAAATATCTCAAAAAGGGATCGAGACAGATGAATCAAAATAATCGCTGTACAAAAGTATCCGCCTCCAAACACGGTAAAGAAGCTCTCTTCTTTTCTAGGACTTTGTTCATATTATAGGTCCTTTATAAAAGATTTTGCGGCTATCGCTGAGCCATTCTTAAAATTAAAAAGTAAAAAGGCAAGATTCTCGTGGACGGCCGAAGCCAATAGTGCTTTCGAAAAATTAAAACAAGCATTAACGCAAGCCCCTGTGTTGAAATTTCCTGAAAAGGATGAAAATTTAGAAATTTCAGCGGATGCTTCGGATTATGCGGTAGGAGCGGTACTTTCGCAAAATCAGCAGCCCGTGGCATTTTTTAGCCGAACTTTAAATCAAACACAAAGAAACTATTCCGCGACCGAGAGAGAGGCACTTGCAGTTCTGTTAGCAGTGCAAAAGTTCCGAGTCTATTTTGGAAAGGCGCCGATAACAGTGTACTCTGATCATGCGGCGGTAACTAGATTGTACTCAGGAAAAAATTTATCCCCAAGGTTAATAAGATGGGCACTCAAGCTGCAAGAATATAATCTGGTAATCAAGCATACCCCCGGAAAGGAAAATATCGTAGCAGATGCCCTATCACGAATTAAAATAGACGAACAAGGGTAATACCGTAAAAGTTGGCAATGCTTACAGCGTGTACAATAAATTCCCGAGAAACTGTAATAACCGAACTGGGTAAGGATCCTGAGTTTGGAAGCATTTATGAGTATTTGAAGGATCCTGAAAATTTTAGCCACCAAGATATTGTGGCGATAAGAAAATAGGGCGGCCCATTACGAACTAATAGATGGTCTATTATTTTATACAAAAACTACGAATTCCAACAACGAATTTCGACCTGTTATCCCAGCTAGTCTTAGATTAAATATCCTGCAGGAGCTCCATGACAGCCCTTTAGCTTCTCATGCTGGTATTCGAAAAACTATCCAACGCGTACGCGCGAGGCAGTCTACTTTCCTGAACTGCAAAAGTTAACAAGGGCGTATGTCCAGTCCTGCCCAACATGTCAAGCCGTTAATTATATTAATTTCCGCCCGGCCGGGTTTCTAAATAGTATTAAATCCGAATTTCCAAATGAAATAATTGGCATCGATTTATTGGGCCCTTTCCCAAAAAGTCAGTTAAATAAAAGTCGCTATCTCCTTGTTATGGTTGATTCATTTTAGTAAATGGACCGAAATTGTTCCCTTAAAACGAGCCTCCGCGAAATTAGTTACCTGATTCTATTTTAAATAAATATATTT